CTAAAGAGAGAATTTTAAGAGAATTCTGCAAATACTCTCTTGAAACTTGATTGTTAGTTGCTGTCCTAAGTAAATCGTTCATTATATTGTCTGTCGAGTTCATTCGTTCTGCAGCTTTCGAATACTCAAATAAATTTTTAGTTTTTCCTTATTTTTTTATAAATAATTTTGAGTTGCTGTTTTTCAACTTGATAAGCCGGTAAAGATGGTAAGTGAATCGTTTCAAGATTATTGTGATTATTCAAGGTAAACTTCTTAAACACGTTTTTCGAAAGCCACTTGTTGAATTTACAGTAATTTTCTCAATTAAAAATGTTTTCAAATATTCATGAAACATCTAAAATTATATTCGATCAAATTTGTTCGCTTTCTAATGTCAATCAAGTTAAAAACAAGAAATCTCCATCTAAACTGTAACATTGATCTGACCTTCTATCACGTACAAGCACAAAACTCTTGTTTTCTACATTTTAAATGAAAATTAAAGTCGTCACTAAGAGTCGAGAGCATAAAATGAAATAATCATTTAACGATGATGATAATGCTTTCGATTGGGGCTTGTCAATGAGACAAGACATTGTCAACAAGATTATGTGAATGAATTTTAATCAATATTTATTCATAAATTGTTATCAACAGTCTGAACCAATTCGTGTTGTTGTTACTGGAGCTGCTGGTCAAATTGCTTACTCACTTCTCTACATCATTGCAAATGGCGAAGTGTTCGGAAAAGATCAAAAACTTGTGTTAACACTTCTTGATATTCCACCAATGATGGGTGTCCTTGAAGGTGTCGTCATGGAGCTTCATGATTGTGCATTTCCACTCTTGACTGAAGTCATTCCAACTGCCGACCCAGCTGTTGCATTCAAAGATGTTTCTGCTGCTTTCTTAGTCGGTGCTATGCCACGTCGTGAAGGAATGGAACGCAAAGATTTATTGTCAGCAAATGTTAAAATCTTTAAAGTTCAAGGCGAGGCACTCAACAACCATGCAAAGAAAGATGTTAAAGTTCTTGTTGTTGGCAATCCAGCAAACACCAACGCACTCATTTGTTCCCACTTCGCACCATCAATTCCAAAGGAAAATTTCACTGCCATGACACGTCTCGATCAAAATCGTGCACGTGCACAAATTGCCCAACGACTTGGAACTGACATTTCTAACGTCAAGAATCTTATCATTTGGGGAAATCATTCTGGTGAGTTTTTTTTAAATGTTTTACGAGCGGCATCAATTTTAATAAATTAATTTGTGTTCATTTTAGCAACTCAATATCCCGACGCTGCCAATGGAACAGCAAATGGCAAACCAGTCACTGATCTTGTCGAAGCATCGTATTTGCAAAGTGACTTTGTCACAACTGTTCAGAAACGTGGTGCTGCTGTCATTGCTGCAAGAAAAATGAGCTCAGCTATGAGTGCAGCAAAAGCTGCTGCTGATCATATCAGAGATTGGTGGCATGGAACAGAATCTGGAAGATTTGTTTCGATGGGTGTTGTATCTGATGGAAGTTATGGAATTCCTAAGGATATTGTCTTCTCATTCCCTGTTGAGATTAAAAACAAGCAATGGAAGATTGTAAGAATATTTAAATTATTTTTATTCCTTTATTAAATTTTATCGTTTTTTAGGTCCAAGGATTGAAGCTCGATTCATTTGCTCGTAGTAAATTGGATATCACAACGAAAGAGCTTCTGGAAGAAAAGGAAGAAGCAATGGCTGTTTGCAATGGAAATTGACTAAATGATGCTAAATTGTAATTAAACCATCACATGTCTTATTTTTTATACTTTTGTACTTCAAATAAATAAATTAAAGACAAATATTGAATTATTTTGATTTATTCATTTGGATACAATTTTTGTAAATAATCTTCGAGTGATATTTTCTTTAGTTCTATATTTTCAAAACCATCTTCCATCACTAATCCTTCTTCATAAGGTGCTGTGAAATAATTTATGATTTTAACAGATTTTATATTGTTTACAATGTAAGTTAAAAGTTTGTTGTTTAGTGATCTTAAATGCAGGTGCTTTAAGTTTGGAGTTACAGTTAACATTTTTGCTTCTTGAACATTGATCTCGGATTCAATTCTGATTTTTTCAATTGATGTGTTGGTAACTAGTAAAAGAATCGCATCAATATTCGGACATTTTGATAAAGTTAAAATCTTGCAATTTTTTAAAGTTTTCCAAATTTCCACAAAGAAGTTGACATCGTTGAATTTCGATTCTGGTAGAAATCTAACGTCCTTCAAATTATGTTGCTTTGAAAGAAACTTCAAAAAACATTTTTTGTCGGCATTCTCAAGAAAATCGTCAGCAAAAGCAAATTTCTCAAGCCGTAAGCTGATTTCGTGATTTGATTGACTTCGGAAAAACAAACTCGATGCTCCATAAAATTTGACATCATTGATTGAAGGATTTTGATCAAGAAACTTGAAGAGACGAGAAATTTTTTCATTAGGAAGTTCATCATCATCATCTTCTGCTAATGTGACAATTCTGACTTCAAGTAATTTAGGATTCTTTCCAAAAAAAACCGGAAGGATTTGATTTGATGAAAAATTGTATTCAAGCGTTCGGAGATTCGGAAAGTTAATTGCCGGTAATTCATCCTCACTAACTTGTGTTCCAATATTCCATAAATCGAGAGTATCAACAGTTGACGCAATATGTGTCATGAGCGCTTTAAAATCATTGCAATCCATCTCCTGATCATCTCTTATCATGACTTTTTTCCATTGAAACTTTTTAAAAACTGAAATCATATTTCCAGGTAAACCGCGTTGAATCTTGAAGTTTTGATAACTTCTTTCGCTATTTAATAAGCATTTAATATTGTATAGAGGAGAAGAAGATTCATAAAACGGCAGCCAAATTTTCTGCATACATTCGAAAGATTTTCCTATTTTTAAGTACCACTGCGGCGAAACTAAAGATGCTTTAACGATGTCAATAGCCTTCAGGTGTTGAAAAACAAAAGGTAAAAGATCATCCGATAATTTATAAAGTGGGTCCATTTCTAATTAATTTCAGACTCGGCAAAACGTAGAATAATTTAAAATGTTTTGTTATGAGTTTCTCAATAAACTGAGAGGGGTCAAGTACTAAAAAATATTTTTCTTCACAGTTATTTTGTGCACATAATGCGCAACGTTTGAGAACTTTTTTAACTGAAAATGAAAAATAATTTCTACAGTTTTTAAGTGATCTTCATCAAGAATGAAGCAAAATCAAAACCTGCTGTATCACATTTTCATATCTATAAAAAAAAGGACAAAAAATAAATATGAAATGATATGTCGACGCAACAGTTGTGAAAATTGAATCGTGTGAAACTTTCAATGAAAAACTAAAGCATTCAATTCGTGTAAATTTATTTAAAAAATTTCATATGCACAATAATATCCCTAAAGAAATTACTGAGTGTGGTGTTAGAAAATCAAGATAAAAAATCACGTTTCATGCCTGGATGTTCTGAAAAGTGAATCGTGTCATTTATATTTCAAAGTGCTCTTAAAGTAAATTTATTTAGAAATGATCATATTGTGCAATAATAAATAATATCCCTTAAGGAATTATTAAATGTGGTGTCAGAAAATCAAGATAAAAAAAATTAAGCTTCATGTTCGGTTGATTTGAAAAGTGAATCGTGTCAAATGCTTCAAAGTGCAATTCAGAGAAATTAACATTCAGATCTGTTAAATGTAATTGACAAAGTTCATATTGTGTTATAATATCCCTAAAGAAATTACTAAGTGTGGTGTCAGAAAATCAAGATAAAACATCAAGTTTCATATTCGATTGTTTAAAGAAAACTGCGATAAGAAGACATCGGAGATGTTTATAATAAGCGCATTCCTTGAGACACTCGATAGTTTAGCGAATTTGAAGCATTTGAGATAAGTTTTGTATTTATTTATATTCATCTAGTTTTTCAGCGATATGCCGAATTGTATTTTTTATTCTCCACAATAAGCCATAAATCCAAGAATAAAATTCTGTCGTTGTTTGAAATTTCGTATTTGAAATTATCTATTATTTTAAATCTTTGTCCAATTTGTGTACGACGCTTAATGATTTCTTAAATTTTGCTATGACTTCAATCTTGGAATCCAAGAGTTTGTAGAAGCTTACCATTCCAAATATCTCATGAAAATATTAGCAGCAAGCGTTTCCCATACTCAAGCCTTTCGGTGTTTTAAAATATTTTGCTTTCAATGCTTCGTTTTCTTTATTAACTAAATTATTTAAATATCGAAGTAGATATTACCTCATAAGCACTTGAACATCACATTAAGATTTATGTCTTAAAAATTTATTTAACACTAAATTAAGATAAGCTCTTAAATTATTAATTCTTAATCATTTAGTTAATTTAATTTGTAATCAAAAAACGATTTGCAAACAATTAAGACACATTTGGTTTCTTAAGTTTCTTACCTTCAAACATTTTAAGTAGGTATCTTAATTCAAGATAATTCTTGCAAGACTTCTGTAAAATTTGTGTATTTGTAAGCACGGCAAAATTTATCTCGATAAAATAAGGAACTTGTGAAAATTCATCGGAGTTTAAGTTGTGCGAGTTGATTTCATTCTTTCTTTCTCTTCAGATAGTTCTGTGAAATGATTAAGTAAATTTATTAAATATTTTGATTATAAATTGAGAAGTTTCTAATTCACCTCTTCAGCAAGTTTCCTTAAACTTTCAAAAGTTGATTTGCCTGTTTCCTTTAACATGTTGTAGAAAATTCGTGTCTTATTTGTTTTCGATAGAAGTTCATGTGGTGACGCAAATTCAACAACTTGACCAGCATCCATCACGAGAATTCGATCTGAGTCCATGACAGTGTTAAGTCGATGGGCGATCGTCAAAACTGTGCACTCAGCAAACTTCTGTCGAATCGTTTCTTGAATCAATGCATCGGTTTGTGGGTCGACATTTGCTGTCGCTTCATCCATCACCAGAATTTTATTTTCTCTTAAAAGCGCTCGAGCCAAACACGCCAGTTGACGTTCACCAACGGAGAAGTTTGTTCCATTTTCAGAGATTTTCGTCATGAGCCCTGCTGGCATTTCACTGATGACTTCTTTCAATTTCACTTCCTCAAGTGCACTCCACAATTTTGCATCAGAATATTCATCAAACGGATCGAGATTGTAGCGCATCGAGCCCGAAAACAAAACCGGCTCTTGTGGGATGATCGAAATCTTCGATCTTAAGTCGTGAAGTCCCATCGCTTGTGTGTCTCTCGTGTCAATATAAATCTGACCGTCAATATACGACAAACGAAATAGTGCGTTAATAATTGAACTTTTACCAGCTCCCGTTCGTCCAACAATTCCAATTTTCTCTTGTGGCAAGATCTCGAAATTTAATTCTTTCAAAACTTTTTCTTCCATCTCGTCTGGAACGTAACTCAATGAAAGTTTCTCAAATTTAATTTCACCCTTTTCAGGCCATTCCTTTGGTGGCTTTTTTTCTGGTTTCGAATCAAAATCTGGCTCGGGATCAACAGTGTTGTACTCAACAACACGTTCAACAGCCGTCATTGTGTTTTCAAGTTCAGCTGATTGTCGCATTCCCCATTGAACCATTCCAGTTAATCCCATCACTTGTGTAATTGCAAGTCCAACATTTCCACCAGTGGTGGTTCCCATCACAAAGAAACTCAAAACAACAATCGCGATGTAAATGACAAGAACAAAGTCAAGCCAAAATCCAAACGCTCGCGCTGATGCAATGAACATGTAAAAAGCCGAACTATTCAAATCTTGATGATTGTCAAATTCAAGCGACAAAATGTGTTCAGCTTCAAAAGCACGAATTGTTGAAAGGCCATTAAGAGTCGCAGCAAGATGAGAATAAATTGGAGATCGAGCTGTAAATGAAATAAAATTAACGATAAATAAATTTCATGTTCATTCAAACTTTTACTTACTTGTGGCTTCCATTCGTTTGATATTTCTCGATGACATGAGATAAAAGCTCCTCAGAAAGTAGAAAAGAATGGCAATGACAATAGTTGGGATCAAGAAAAACGGATTAACAACCGCAACAACAGCAACAATACCAGCAAGTGAGAGAAAAATTTGAATCACATCAATCATAATTGAAGGTAAAATTTCGTCAATTTGTCCAATGTCCTTGCTGAATCGATTGAGAATTCTTCCTGATGGGTTTGTGTTGAAGAAGTACATTGAAGCTCGTGTCACACCAGCAAACATTGCGTCATGAAGACGTCGAGATGCTTTCATAGCAACATTGAAGAACATGAAACTTCTGCTTAAAGTTATCGCAACTGTGCCGACAGTTAGAGCTGAGAAAATGTAAATGTCAATGTTTCGATCATAAACGACACCTTCGAAGAGTTTCGCAGCTTGTTCAATGAACGTGAGATTTCCGCTTTCATTTGATTCTTCTACAATGTTGAATATTGACGAGTCGATGATGTTGTCAGCACTTAAACTTCTTGGTGTTCCACGTTCTTCTTCCTTTGCAACCCAATACGAGACAAAATAATCTCCAAGAGAAGCGCACAGTTGGGCAAAAACGAAGAACATTACGACGACTGATGTGATGAAATATCCGCCAGCAGCTTTAAAATATGCTTTGTAGTAAGTTAATCCTTGAGAACCTTGAGCTCGACCTTCCTCTGCTATTTCCACATGATTTTCATTCTCTTCGCTTTCTCTTGAAGTTGCACTTGTGATGCTGTCGTGTCTGTTCTTGCCCGCGATTGAGGATCGACTGCCTCGACTTGATTGACTGATTGAACGTTGCAATGGATTTTCATCTTCCGATACTTCTTCTTCTTTAGGTAAAAGTTTTGCAAAATCTAAGCCCGACTCACGAAGACTTTCAAAAGTTCCAACACCTTCGACAATTCCATGATTTAAGAGAAGAATTTGATCAGCTGTTGGTAAATATTGAAGTTGATGTGTTACGAGAATGACAAGTTTGCTTTTAAGAAATTCTTTGATGCAATTGTCGAACAAATGACGACCAACATGAGCGTCAACAGCACTCAAAGGATCGTCAAGTAAATAAATGTCAGCTTTACGATAAACTGCACGAGCCAAGTTGATTCTCGCTTTCTGTCCACCAGACAAACTCATGCCACGTTCACCGACAATTGTCTTGTCGCCATCAGGCCACATTTCGAGATCTCTCGTAAGTGAACAAGTTTTGATGACAGCTTTGTAGCGATCCTTCTGATAAGATTCGCCGAAGAGAATATTTTGACGAACGGAACCAGAGAACAACCAAGGCTCTTGAGATGCATACGAGATGACTCCATTCACTTGAATGTCTCCACCTTCGATTGGCAACTCACCAAGAATCGCTTGAATCAAACTCGACTTTCCAGCACCAACTTTTCCTATCACAGCGACAACCGTCGATGATTGAACATCCAAATTAATGTTCGATAAAGTTAATTCTGTTGCTTCTCCATTCCATCTTGCCGACACTTTGTCCATTTTAATTCCTGATTGGTGTGGAATGTTTGAATCGACTTTGACTGTTCCATTTGTTGCTTCAAACTTCTCTTTACTGCGTTCATCCTTTTTTCTTAACTTCTTTTGAAAGTCACGATCAAGTTCATCATACAACATGAACTTCTCTAATCTTTTCACTGACACTCTCGTCTCTGCCAGCATTCCAATTGCTTGCGGAAAGAAAATCGTCATGGTTTGTCTCAAAACATTGTAGTAAGCTGTGATAACGAAAGCATTCTGTGCAGTCACAACATTACCAAGTAATGCAAACATCACCAAACTCGTGAAGGTTGAAACACGAGATGAAAATATAATAAACGATAAAAGAATTCCACGAATCCACGACGCATAACGAATAACTTTGATTTCCTTTTGTCGTGCTATTGACACGATCTTACTAAACGGCTTTTCCCAAGCATACATTTTTATGACTTGAATTCCTTGAATGATCTAAAAGATTGAACTAAATTATAATTAACAATAAAAATTGAACTTTGTCATCACCTCATTCATCAATCGAACTCTTTCATCTGTTCTGAGCGCTGTTTTCATTCTAAGTTGCGAAGTTTTCTTTCCAAGATAAACTAAAAGTTTACATAATTAATTAAGATGAATAAAAATGATTGAAAATTGTTTACATTGAAATGGAATAAACATCAACAGAAAAATTACGCCTGCAATTGCGGAAATTCCGATCTGGAAAAAGAATTTTTTCAATTAATAAATTTATTAATGATTGAATGAGTAGAAAATTTAATTACTTCATAGTACATCAACCAAGTGACGACAACTGTTTGAACGGGACCAACCCAAAGATAATGGAAGAACATAATGATGAGATCAAAACGTGCGACATCATTCGACAATAAATTCACAACTTGACCAGAAGTTGTGTTAATCAAAGCTGTTTTACTCAACTTCAAAGACTTTCTGTAAATCATTGAACACGCGCTGATTCTGATTTTCATGCCAACTGTCAGATTCGTCAACATAAGTGCGTGTTGAGTGAGAACAGTGAAAAAGCTGCCTGCAATGATTCCAGCTGCGTACCAATAAGCTTCACTTATGCTTGATTTTTCAGGATTTGCGTAATATTGTACAATGCCACCGAGAAATATCGGCATTGTTACTTTAAACAGCATCTCGGCTGTTAAGAGGATGAAACCGAGAAACACAATGTGAAATCCATAAACTTTAAGTCCTGCTGACATCAAACTCGGCTTTTTGTTCTTTGATCTTTTCTTCTTACACTCATCCTCCCACGCTTTTTCTAATTTATTTCCTAATTTATCGGCATGATGATCTGGCAAAGGTTGATACAAGTCTTCGAGTCCCAACACTTTTTTCCTTCCTTTCAGTAAAATCGGCAACACCCAACTAAAAGTTTAAATAAGAAATCAAATTTTAATTACTTTTGTCAACAAATTTTACTCGCCTGAATGTTAGAAATGATAAAAAGTTTCCATTCTTTCTCGGATGTTCAGCTAAAAGTTCTTTCTTTGTAAGTGACTCCATAATTAAACTCTTCTCGTTTTTAAATGAAAGAAATTATTTGACGAATCATTGGAAACCTGCAAAAAAGATTGAAATCAACATGAAATCGTTGACAGACTTCACAACCACTTGACTCTGTCTATTAGATAATTGAAGTTTAATGACGAAATAATTATGAAACGATGGAATCAGTAAACACGTTAACAATTCAAGAAAAAAAAAATTTAATCGCACAATAAGAATTTCATGATTTCATGAAAGAAAACAAAACATTAAAATTTGTCAAGAGTGACAAGAATGTTGAATTGTTTGTAAATATTTGTTTCTTAATCAGAGATTAAATTTTATGCTTCAATTAATCATTTTGGATTTCTTATCAATTTCAATTTAACGCTATTCATGCTTTTGTCATTTTTAAATAAACAACTAAATATTTGTGACGTTTACGGAATTCCGTTGATAAGGAGAAAACTTGATTTGTCAAGTCATAGCAATCAACTTTATTTTATTTGAGTTTTAGTCGCGACGACGAGACATTCTTTCAGTGGAAATTTTAACTCACAATGATATCAAATTTGTCTTATTAATTACATTTATCACCTACACAAACTTTTCTTCTCTTATCGAATCCACCAATTGTTATCAAACTGATAACGAGAATGAAATAAAAGTTTCTTTCACACTTTTGTTTTTATTTTTCCACGAGAGATTCAACTACCAACTCTATGTTCATGCAATCACAATTTCCAATTAAATACTGACTGAAATCAGCTGAATGTCTTCAATTAAAAACCCAACAAAATAAATTGTTAATTGAAGTTGATTTTTGATAACAGCAGCTAACAACTGTGTCAAAAAGCTACACAAATGATATTTAATGAAAACATTCTGATATGAAGAGTAGAAGCACGCTGTGTGATTGCGCGACTGCGATCGCGTTTATACTAAAGTTAGATATCTTTGTGTGCTCGAGAATTGAAGAAAAAAATAATTCTGAAGCGGTTGTTAGATGTTAGGCGTTATCTAAAAGTTATGTCATGTCCTAATTAAATTTAAAAAAACTTTAATTCCAATCTAAAAAGCTTTGAAATTAATTCAAAATGTGAAATTGGAAGTTTGAAGATAGAATCACATTACTAATGAATAAAATTTTATTTTTTTTAGAGTTTTCATCGTGACTTGACAGTTTTTTTAACACTTGGAAGGTTTATGTTTATCATTGCCCGTCTCGATTAGAATTTTAAGATTCGATAAAATCTCATTTGTTGTTGCTCATAATTATTAACATAAACACATTAAGTTTTAATTTATTGAACTTGACTTGAATTATGCGTAAACTGAATTGCCGGTGCTTGAAAGCAGTTCGATTAATGCATTTAAATCGAAGGCCTTATCAGAAAAAAATAATAGCAACGAAAATCCATTGAAAAGAAGGTAGAAACTGTCAGAGATATTCAGGTAGGTCAGTTCCATTCGGATTACAAATTCTTTCTCTTGACTTCTACAATATTTATGCCTACAACGTCATCTTCTTTTCTTTTTTCTCTTTTGAAATTCTTTTTTTCGCATTTATTTCAATTGTCTAAAACACAAAATTTCTTTTTGTACTTCGAGCAAATTGTTCCACTTACAATTATTTCAGATAACAACTAAATTATCATTTTATCGCGACTGAACATGTGGTCAAAAACACATTTTGATGGCTTTTATTACACTTGAAAATTGCTTTTTACGCAATCAATGGAGAGAAGAAAAATTGATGTTAACTTAGTGAGGGATTCAAACAGACTGAGGCTTTTCTTTCGCTCTTTTCTCTCGCAATCGTTGAATTTACGTTCACAACTTTCTGGTTGTATTAAAGGTAAAAATTTCAATTGGTAAAGGTGAAAACAGCTGAGCGATGTTTTTGTTGTTGTTCGGAAACAAAATTTCATGCGTGATGGGAATTCTGAAATTCGAGTTTTAAAATTGAAAGGTTCGATATGGATTTCATTGTTTTTCTATTTTATTCATGTCATCATGTAATGTTTCAGGGAAGGAAAAATCTTTAAATAAATCACCGAGATTTGTTCGTTTCGTATGTTTGTTTTAGATATTAATAAATTGTTTTATATTTTAGTTCCAACTATCATTTGAAGTAATTAATTCGTTGAATGTATCAAGAGATCCTTGATTATCTTGCAATTCATCTTCATAATCTTCTTCACTCTTATCAAACGCTGGTAAAATCACCATATCGTCTTTCACTTCATATTTCTTTTTAATGACACTTCGAATTTCGTCTACATTTTCAGTTATTTCCCAACAGAAACTCGAAATGTGAGAAACTGGAATTTCATAACGATCCGATTCATTGTTGAAATAAGAATCGTCCAAGAATCTGTTGATGTGATAAGAACATTCATCAGAAATTCTTTCGTCACGAGTGCGATTGTCGTGAAAAAATGGATAATCGATAGACTCGAGAAGTTTATATCCTTTGCACTCTACAACTTCTACAGACGATTCGTCGTCTTCATTTTTGCAGTCTTCTTCCACATCAAGAGAATGAAGAAAATCTTTTCTAATGAACAATCCAAGTTGCGAACATGAACCAACTTCTTCACGGCCTTCAGGAGGTTTTCCAACTCCATGAAACTGAACGCAATAATCAGGAAATCTCGCACAAATATTACGACACCAATCTTCAAATTGAACTCGAGTCCATTCAAATTTATGGTCCCAGTGACGAAATGCTCCCTGTTGGAGATTAAAGACAACGTTGTAGTCGGAATTTGGTGTTGTGAACACAGCAACTTTAGGATGAATAATCCCAAAAATATGATTAGGAATCTCTTCAAGAGTATCTGGATAAACATGTTCGATTCTGAAATAAAGAAAATAAGAAAAATCATTAAATTTTAGAAAATAAAATCATTTTACTTACAACTCAATAGCTACAACAGCATCAACATTAATGAAGTTTGGATTTGGTATTGAAACATCGCCTTTCCATACCCTGACAAGTAATTTTTCAGGCCTTCGTTTTGTATATTCGATAATCAATGGTTGAACTCTCGACTTTGCATTCACCAGTAACATTTCATCAATATCGACTAAATCGATTTTTGTTGCATGTCGCACACCGTTCTTGAGATAAGTAAAAAATTTCATTTCGGCACATCCAAACTCCAAAATATTCTTAATTCTACTTTTAAATTTATCATGATTTAATATATTTGTAACTTTCAGATAACGTTGCTCATATACAGGAGGATCGAATATTAGTTTATCTTCTGCGTTGTAAATCGTTCTCGAGTGGACAAACTCTTCGTTTATTCCTTCAATGAATTCCATTGTAAGACTGCGTTTATGAAGAAATATTCAGAACAACTTTGTTTACTTTTCGTTGTTGCCCCTCTGAGAAACATGAAATATAAAATGCCCCTTTGAGTATTCAAAATAGAAATCGTCGTTAAATCTATGTAAGATCTAATCTAATTAAATTCAATCCTACCTATACATATGTTTCATAAAAATTTAACTATAGTTAGCTAAAATAACACACATAAAAAAGCAATAATTATTTTAAATAAGATGGTATGTTCGTTCAATAAATAACAACTTTACGACATGCATTGTATTGAATTAAGATTCATTCGTAGGGAATTTCCGATACTAATGTGTTTAATAAGAGATTGGTAAAGAGATTAAATATGAGATCTTTAAAACATTTTTAGCTTTTAATCAAAACAAAAGAGAAAAATATTTCGTATAAACAGCACTAATTTGATTCCTTTTTCACATTTATCTGTATTGTTTTTCTGAAAACATGTGTGGATGGGAAAATACCTTAAATTTTATGAGGCTCGAGGCTGCATGTGTTGTGTTACCGATCACAGAATGAAAACTTCAGTTGAAGTTCAAACGTTGAAGTGGTCACTTCATATTTAATGAAACAAGAAAATATTTTCTTGTTTGAACGTCAATCTACTTAGAAGAAAAAGTGAAAATACCTAATTGAAAATAAAAAAAATTTGGAAAGTGAAAAATTCAGTTCTTGTTAGTTTGAAAGATTCTGTTTTGAGAAATAAAAAGAGTTTACCCATAAATTAATTTTCATCACAATTTTAAATTGTTTAAGAAATGTTAAATTATTCTGTGTTAGTGGATTAAAATAATAAGTTAAAAATTGTGATGAAACTCATTTAAAAATTTGGTGTTGCCGTCAAACGTCGGCAGTAGTTTAATGTTGTCGGGCACATTGTTAGACTCAGCGATAAATATGTGTAACAAAAATTTGATCTACAATAATTTGATCTTACATTATGTTCAAAATAGAAATCATTGTTAAATCTAAGTATGTGAGATCTAATCTAATTACCTAACTGCGATTCTAAATACCTATTTATTGAATGAAATAGTTTTCTGCAAAGGTTTGACTATTAAAAGAACTTATGAATCCTAAAATCATAAATGAAATTTCTAATTGATCATAAATATTCTACAAAAGCATAATTATTTTAAAAAAGAAGGTATGTTCGTTCAATAAATAACAACTTTACGACATGCATTGTATTGAATTAAATTTCATTGGTAGGGAATTTCCGATGTTAATGTGTTAAATATGTAATAGATTAGTAAAGAGATTAAATATGAGATCTTTAAAACATTCTGCATTCTTAGATTTTAATCAAAACAAAAGAGAAAAATATTTCATACACATAAACAGCACTAATTTGATTCCCTTTTTCACATTTATCTGTATTATCTTTCTGAAAACATGTGCGGATGGGAAAATACCATAATTTTTATGAGGCTCGAGGCTGCATGTGTTGCCGATCACAGAATAAACTTCAGTTGAACTTTAAACGTTGAGGTGATCAGTTATTTCATACAGATCATAATGAAATTAGAAAATATTCAGAAATGAAATCTAGTTGAAGTTCTAACGTTGAAGTGATCACTTTATATTTAGTGAAACAAAAAAACATTTTCTTGTTTGAATGCATCCCATATGTACTTAGAAGAAAAATTGGAAAAGAAAATAGAAAGTAGAAAATATGAATAAAATTAAATAGTTTACATAGTTGATTGTTCATTCATCATAAATTCTGGAATAAATCAAAAGTGTCTGTTGAACAATTTGATAAATATTTAAATTGTGAGTGAACCAGAACTTCCTGAATAAAGTTTTCTGAATTAATTATGTTTAAAACTTCTTTGGAAAAAATTACTTATATTGAAGGTGCTTTCAAAAGAAAAGTGATAAGTTAGCGCCTTCTGAATATTTTGCAAGACGTGAGTTTTTACTTTAAAAACACCTTATCTAAAATGAATTTTTCTAAATTATTTGTGTTTAAAACAAATCCTCTCCATAAATCTTTCCATTTATTTCAATTGGTTGACTTAAAAGTTGATCAGTTTTAAAATTGAGTTAAGAGTTGATTCTAAACCAATGTAAATTTTCTTCCATACAAATAAGAACGAAAAGTTTTACAGGCATGAATAATTGCTAACAATTCTTTTTCAACAACAGCATATCTAATCTCGTTTTCTTGCAGCGTACGTGAAGCGAAAGCATATCTTTACCCATGGGGCCTTGAGACATTACTGAACCTATTGCGTAATCGCTACTGTCGCAGATGGCAATAAAAGGTTTAGAAAAATCGGGATATTGTAAAGTATCGCTACTGCATAATAGTTGCTAACATTTTTGTACGGATTCTTTCGTGTGAATAAATGTTTGATCTTTTTTTATCATTGAAGTTAAAGGCTTAACAATCTTTGCAAAATCTTTAATAAATCTACGATAGTACCTTAGTGTCCCTTAAAATCCTTTTAATTCTTTTTCATTGCGCGGAAGAGGTCAATTTACTATTGCTTCAATTTTTTTTGGATTTGTGAAAACACCTTCTGGTGTAACAATGTGCTCTAAATATTCGACTTCTTTTCGCAAAAATTCTGATTTATCAAGTTGTATTTTAAGATTATGTATATTTAATAATTTTAAAATGTTTCTTAAATCTGCTGCAGAGAGCTAGAAAAAATTATGATATCTATGAATAAACTTAACATGTTTTCCCAATGTATTATTTTAAAACATTATCCATAACTCTTTGAAAAGTTGCTGGTGCATTTTTCAATCCCATTGACATTTTAAGAAATTCATATTGGCCTCTTTCTACGCTAAAAGCAGTTTTCTCTACATGTATAGGATCTACTTCTATCTGATGAAACCCAGATGCTAAATCTAACGTAGTAAAATATTTCGCATGACCTAATGCATCAAGGATGTCTGTTATGTTTCGAATAGGAGTTGATCATCAATTGTTTTTTTGTTTATGTATTGCTCTATAATCAGCAACAAGTCGCCATTTCTTTATATTCGATGCATCTGATTTTTTCTTTACTACCCAAATTGGTGCCGAATATGGAGATGATGAATTTTTAATTATTCCCGAATCTAACATTTCATTAATTTGTTTTTGAATTTCTTTTTTCAATGTAAATGCCTATAGTTTTTTGCGTGTGTTGGTGTCTCGTCTGTGGTGATTATCTTGTGCTTTATGACACTAGAAAATGGCTCGTTACTGTTGTTATAAAAGCATTTCTGATTCAACGTAACTACTTTAAGAAGAGCTTCAAGTTCTTCTTTATTTAAATGGCTTGTTCTTAATTTATCCATCAATTTCCGTTGTAAAGCAAAACGCTTTTCATAGGATTGTGGGGGTCCAACTTCAAAATTGTTTAGTTGAACTTTAACGTACTGTTAGGGAAAATTTATAACTGAATTGCTTTTATTACAGAAGACAATTGGCGCTTCGCCATCACATGCGCGATAGATACCCGCAAGTGCGTAAACCGATTTATTAATTTATATCTTTATAAATTTTTTTGTCTTGGAATGCATTTTAGGGAAATAATACTCTTTTGAGATAACCGCAAAATTTTCTCTAGATCCACGATGAGCTCTATTATAAACTTTTTCAATGATAGTGCCTTATTCTAGTTCACTTTCAACATCATTTAATAAAATTTGAGACATAACAATTTTGAAAGATTATTGATTTGATAAGAATTTTCTATAAACTTATTCAATTCACTCTTTTATCGTCCAAGTGGTTTCTGAATATTTCAAGTATTTTGTTTTCAACAAATGACTCACCAGAAATCTTTACTCTTATTATTCTTGCAAAAATACTTTCGACTTTTTGTTGGTCTGTTTTGCTTAGTTGAAAAATAATTTGACTAGATATGAGTTGATAGGTTTTTCCGTCATTGGGATATATTGGGAATCGTCTGTGTCTGTCGAATGAATTGTGACGTCGTCGTGTTATTCATTATTGATAGTCCCGTCATATTACATATATTTCCTTCTATGGGTCATTATTCTAGAAAATCCATTATGGATAAACATTTAAATTGTGAGTGAATCAGAACCTCCAAATTGGAAACTGAAAAGTTCAACAAGTCTTCCTGTGAGTTTTTTGCAAGACGCGAGTTTTTATTTTCAAAAACGAGTCCTTTCCATAAGTCATTTAATTTATTTAACATAAGAAATGGATTTATTAAATATCTGCACGCAATGAATAAAAGAAAGAAAGAATTTATAATTTTCGACTGTTTGGCTTAAAAGTTGATCAGTTATACAATTGAATATTAAAAAAAAATTGTATTACGATTTTTGAAAGCGAAATTGTAAGAGAGTAGAATTCAACAAATGAAACGGGTCCGTTCTCTAATGATGAGAGGAATCGCTGCAAAGGGGATGAAGGTCCAACGGTGTTTAGTGAATAATAAAACAACAGATGATATTAACTTCCAACTCTTCAAACTTCACTTTATTTCTCTTAATATTTCTGACTCGTACATATTAGAATACAACTTAATTGTAGGGTGGTAAAAACTGAACGATGATTGCTCGGTTTCTTCTTAATTTATATGTTCTATTATCATCATGTTTTCTTCGTGAACACGATCACCGCGATCGTGGTTGCTGGGCCGATGTAATTTTCACGAAGTGTAATCTGATAAGGCCACTGCGTAATCATGCATGTTTTTATAGCTTAATAATCTATTGGCTATAAAAACTGTTTACAACTTTACAATCATTTGATAATTTTAATAGCCTAAATTATACGAGTGGCGTAACATGAGTTTTCATGAGCGATCGTGTTACATGGTGATTTAATTACAGTCGTAAAAAAGGTTGAAAATCTGTTATCTCGGTGAGACTTGGGTGATCGAGGTCTTCTCATGTTGCGTCTTTAACAATATTTCCTCTACCCGTTACATTCCCCCGAGATTTTACAGATATTTTTGCAGGAAATATGTGTAAAATATGTAAATTATGTGAAACATTATCAGGTTACATTACAGTTGGGTCTATGAGGAAGAAACTTTCTTATTTATCTACAGTTTTATTTCAAGTTTCTGTTTATTTTTTCTTTTTATTATCTTAAGCGTTTTTCTTCTCTCTTGTTTAGATCGTTCGTCATAACGAACGCTTACTGTATTTGAAAATTTTATCTAGGATTCGAATGTTTTCTATCTTGTTTCATCTTTAAATTTCTGAATATCTACTTTCGTTTGAAGAAAAGTTGGATTTTTAAGTTCAAGCGTTTTTATTATTTTTTTTGTATTTTCAATATAAAATTTTTTTTTGGATTTTCTTCTTTCCTTTTAAGGTAAAGTACATAATAAGCATAAATAGAATAAGTATTTGATTAATTATAAAAGAATATAAATGTTTATAAAAGAGTATGAAAGAATATAAATGTTTATAAAAGATTAGTATAATTGAATAAATGAAAGGAGAAGCAATAAAAATAAGAATTTTAATTTTTCTTTTGATTCTGAAGTCTTTGTTAAAGAAAATTTAATTTTGAGAGATAAAAAGGTTTAATCAGTAATCCAAGTTGACAGGGTTGAAATCGGCAATGTTGATCCGTTGATAGTCTCCCTCCTGTAGCATCAACTCTTTGAAAATGTTGGTTCCTTCTTCTTCATGTTCTTCGTAGTATCGTAGCGCGTTTACTTTTCCGTCCCATTCTAAATCCTCTGACACGTTTTCGTCTTCATTTTTTAGAGTGTAAATTTTTTTTCTGTTGATCTCCTTGTATTTTGGCACCTCTATGTATTCGAAAATTCCATTCTGCAAGTTGTTTAAGTACTCCAGTTGAGCTTGGAGACAGTAATTTCTCCTGAAAAATAATCTTTATCAAGTGAACTGTATTAACGTTTATTAATATAATATTTATGAATAAACACTTCGATGTTGGTTGGCCTAAAGCTGAATCTAGACTAAATTTTATTTCTTGTTCTTTTCAAATAATGAATTTTGCTGATACAATATTAATTTTGCTGATACATTGATTAATATTTATTTGCTAATATTTATTTCATAATAATCATTCCCAAAATTCTCCCCCCCGGCGAACGATTTAAAAGATAAAAATCATATTAAATTTCATTTATAAACTTCCCTTTTTAAAATTTAGCAAACCTATGAATACACATTTCATTTCAATGCCTCAAAGACTAACTTAATAGCTTAATAATAAATTGATTAAATTGATAATATAATAATAAAATGATAACTTGGTTGATTACCATAATTGATAAATGATTAAAATAATTCTTAAATTTAACTTGTTTTCTGTCTGAGAAAAAAAACTAAAATTGGCAAACCTATGAATACATATGTATTTCATTTCAATGCCACCAAATAATTTAATAGTTAATAAAAAGAAAATCTCTTAAAAATATGAGTCTTGTAGACTCTGATTACATAAACAAAATTTATATATGAAATATGAAAACCAAAATTTTACTCATTTGCGAACCTATGAAGAACAGCTAATTTCCGTCTAAGCCCGGCCCTTGCCACCATCCACAATTCAAGCATGTATCTTCTCTCATTGCTGGTATTCTCCATTTCACCGCCACACATCTCAGATGAGCCGCTCTAATTAAGAAGACCTGCTTTCCATCTTCGTCCTCTTGCTCATTTAGCCACTTTGAATTAGCTGCTTCATATGTCGAGATTGTTTTCAGGCATATTGCACAACTTTTTTTCCACATCAAATTTTCTTTTATCATATGTCTTTCCGTGTGGCATCTTAAACAGTTCCATTTTTTAATTGCTTCTTCTTCCATTTGCAACAGGTTCACGTTGCATGCAATGTTTTTATCTTTTATTTCCTTCACTACACTGTTCTCGTCTACTATGATGTATCCCACAAAGTCCCCTTTGTCACCTGATCCAATCGGTCTCCGTTCGTTTTGTATGTAGCATCGTACTAAAGACACTAACGTTTTCGTTTCACTTTGTACCACTTCTTTAAGGTTGGTGTTCTCCTTAAGTTTACTGAACTTTCCACACTGGGTCTCCTTTTCTATTGTGCCCAGCCATACATCCGTTCCACGCAATTGCACGATACAATAATTCACTGAAGTCATTCTTTTGGCTTTTATAATTTTGCACTGCTACACTGCACTCGTTGTTTGAACTAACTGAGCGTATACTTGAATTGCTTTGCTGATGGCCAGGGGCGGGAAACAAATTTAAACTATCTAACGTTTCCTTTTCTTCTTTCTTCATCTGATCGCAACTACCAATTAAATAAACAAATTCTTCACTTAAATCATAATATTAGTTAATACTTTAGTAACTTGACACTTATCTTGTTATTGTTGGTTTTCTTCATGCGTCATCTTAAGTGTAATCGGATTTAACTCCAACCACTCTTCAATCCAATTAGTTCTTATATGCTCCACCGGCGGTGTTAATGAATTCGTCTTCTTCTTTTTAAAGTAGAATAAGCCTCCGATAATCAATAAACTGATAGTTAAGAATGTTGAACTCCATATTCCAACGCCTAGCCCTGTTGTCCACTTATACTTCGATGTTGTTTTCATATCGCTTAACGTTTTTTCCAATTCCTTTTTCAATACTTCAACATTTGGTGACGTAAAATTGCTTAGCTTCGTAAAATGTAGCACGTTATCCGATCCTTTGTTATTGTTATGCAGTAAATTTATCTGTGTTGTGTAAATAGAATGAAACTGTTCTGACTTTAGTAGAGAATTTTTTCCGATTATTATACAGTCAGTGAAGTTTACTAACGCTGCTTCATAGTGAATAATTGTTGAAGTTTGATCTGTACAAGTTAAATTAAAACCATCGTCTTGTCCCTTGATGAGTACAGCTAAACTCTCATCAATCTGCAACAGCTTCTGATTAATTACGCCATCATTAAATTTCGTTAAACATTTATCGGACTTTTCCTTTTGTAGTATAAATTTCAAGCATTCATCTAATTTTTCAGGCTCCACGTCGAAGATTCCAAGCTGGTTTTTGGTAGGTGGTGATAAAAAGCCTGTACTATTTTTGTCGTCAACGATTATCTTGATTATTAAAGCATCTTTCGGTAACACTGCATTTAGTATCTTTGGAGTTGGGATATTTATTATTAAGTATTCTTGTAACGCTATACAGCTTACTAGCGGAATGATAAATTCAAGTTGAACAATGTTATTTTTTAATTTCTTTTTAGGCTGCTTAAACGTGAAAATGTCTTCGCTGTCTCTCAATGTTGGTAAACAAATTACATTCTTCATCAAGGTTGCTTCATCCATGAATGCATTCAGTTCGGTAACAGGTTTAAACTCTATAATATTTAGATGATTCTCTTTGATAGCCTCCGTCATACTTCTAATAGATGCAATATAATCATTTATCGATGCTTTTAACATAACTTGAGCTTGCTTTTGAATGATTAAGTTTACTTCTTGGTCAACGGCTTCATACCTTATGTTCGAAATATTCATCATTATGCTAGCCATCTTGACCGTGTTTTGCTTTAACTCATTTATTTCGTCTTCCAATCCACTGTGTTGAACTTCTTCATAAATAACTACGCTTGGTAAGGACCCATAAGTATTTAACGATCCACTTCCCTGCTGTCCAAGCCTTCCGCACCCACTGCGATTTTGCAACTATTGGTCCCACCATTTGAAACACACCTCTCTTTTCCTTCTTTGATGAATATTGGTCAACGATTGATTGAAGGCGACTCCTTGCTTCTTCTTCAATATCCTTCAACTCATCCTGACAATACTGTTTTAATTCTTCTTTGGGTTCTATTTCTGCACAAGTTCGTCTTAATGTATCAATTGACTCTCTCACAATTTCTTCGTCAAACGAAACGTTTAATGGAGTAACAACAATAAATGGCATTTCAGTAATCATCGAGAACACTGGTCGTAAACTGCGAACATGAATCCCTGCTGGTAACGGTGTCACTTTCATGGCACAAGTCGACGAGAGGCAAGCTAAAAGACAAAAAGCAAAAAGCATATGATTAGCCAATTTTTTCTTACCTCGTGTTCTTGTTGCTATTGGAGCATTATCTTTGCTTTCTTCATCATCATTCTTCTGTTGATCGTCTGGCAGTGGTAATAAGGATTGCATTTCTATTTCATTATCTGCTTGTGACTGACGGTTCGGTAATAGTGTAACAAGACGTTCAACCGCTAATATCTTCTTTTTGTTCTTCGCTTTCACTTCCACACGTCTTACATTACCTGAATCATCTTTAAGTTGTGCTGTAACCTTTCCTAAGTTCCATTGACCTGGGTGAAGATTGGGTTCTTTTACCAGAACCACATCTCCAATTTCCATATTTTTCATTTGCTTTCTCCACTTTTTTCGACTGTATAAGTGATGCAGGTATTCTGATTGGTATCTTTCCCACAATTGATCCACAATCAATTTTATATTTAACCAATTTTTCGTGAGTGGTTTATCGTCAGGGCGTATTTTTTCATGAGGTGACATCACAAAACCTTCAAGGGTGATAAAGTTAAAAGGGGTTAATGCTAGCATCTCACCTGGTTCTGGAAACGCATCGTACATTGGTCTGCTATTCATAATTGCTTCGATTTTGCATAATAATGTGGAAAAATCTTCATACGTTATTTTCTCTACCTGTTCCATTCTTTTAATAAAAAACTTCATGATTTTGATGTGGCTTTCATAGATACCACCAAAATGTGGCGCTTTAGCTGGGTTGAACTTCCATTCGATAGATTGTGTAGAGAGTTTATCGCTAGTTTCTTTCGTAATCTGTTGCCATCCTTCTTGTATCTTCTTATTTCCTTTAACAAAATTTCCGCCGTTATCTGAAATAACATACGAAGGTGCTGTTCTTCTTGAACAGAATCTTGTGAACGCTTTAAGGAAATTGTCAGCTGTAAGGTCTAAACAAATTTCTAAATGTACAGCTTTTGTGACAAGACACACGAATAACGCTACCCATACTTTAATAGTTTTCGCGAATTTTAAATGTGTGGCTTTAATATTAAAAGGACCTGCAAGATCAACTCCTATTTTCTTAAACACTCTGCCAGGCGTAATTCTTTCTTCCGGTAAATCACCCATCATTTGATTGTTTGTTTTTGCGTTCCACTTCAAACACGTTACACAATTTCTTATACACTTTTTTATTTTTGATTTTAGAGCAGGAATATGATACGTTTCTCTAACTTGTTTTTCTATTACTTGATTGCCAGCATGGCCAAAATTTAAATGAATATCTCGAATAATTATTTCAATAATATGACAATTTTGCAATATAATTGGGTGCCGTTGATTTTCCGATATGAATTTTGCTTTTGTAAGCCTACCCCCAATTCTCAATAAATTATCGCGATCATCAATAAACGGATTTAACGGGGTCATCCAACATTTCTTTGGTAAGCTTTTATTTTGTTCAAGTTTTTCAATTACATCAGAAAATAATAATTCTTGTTGGCGTCGAATAATTCTGTTTCTTGTTCTCAATATTTCTTCACTACTCAGTGGTTCTGAAAACCTATTAATAGTTGCATTTTTATTTCTTTTAATTACATTTACCCAACGTAAACATTTTGATAAAACTCGTAGCATTTTTTTCCAATTTGAAAAGCGATTCAGAAATTCTACGTCAACAACCTCAATTGCGAATGACACACATTGTTCTTCTTTGCAAGGTGTTTTTGGTAATTCATCATTTTGTAACCAAGCGGGGCCATTAAACCATATTTTGTTGGCAATAAAATCTTCTGACGTTGCACCTCTCGATGCCATATCAGCAGGGTTTTCCTCAGATTTAACATAATGAATATCGCTTNCTTTTTGTAGTATAAATTTCAAGCATTCATCTAATTTTTCAGGCTCCACGTCGAAGATTCCAAGCTGGTTTTTGGTAGGTGGTGATAAAAAGCCTGTACTATTTTTGTCGTCAACGATTATCTTGATTATTAAAGCATCTTTCGGTAACACTGCATTTAGCATCTTTGGAGTTGGGATATTTATTATTAAGTATTCTTGTAACGCTATACAGCTTACTAGCGGAATGATGAATTCAAGTTGAACAATGTTATTAACCAATTTCTTTTTAGGCTGCTTAAACGTGAAAATGTCTTCGCTGTCTCTCAATGTTGGTAAACAAATTACATTCTTCATCAAGGTTGCTTCATCCATGAATGCATTCAGTTCGGTAACAGGTTTAAACTCTATAATATTTAGATGATTCTCTTTGATAGCCTCCGTCATACAAGTTATCCATTGTATTGATGACGGTTTCAAGTACATCATTACCCAGCCATTCATTCAATTCAAGATATTTCAATGTTTTGTTGTGCATACTTAGGAACTTCTGAAAATTTTCCATTTGAATTGTCTTCGACTTCGGTTCTGGTTGTTTCCTGAATTTCTTGAATTTCAATGCTTCCAATTGAAATTTGAAGCCACAAAGAAATTTGTCATCGATAAATAAATTATCGAAATCTGTTTGATGAAGATAAAATCCTAAAACTTTAAGGTTTTGATTATTTCTTAAAATTGTTTGAAATGCTTTAACTCGCTCGATAAACTCCCAATCTTTGTAGTCGACTGCTGAAAATATTTTCGTTTCCAAGTGTAACATTTGAATAGTTTTGACGTTTTGGAAGATTTGTGAATAAATGTAAGTGTTACAGTCAGCAAGTCGGAGAGTCCTTAACTTAGGGAAGATCATGTTTGGTGCCAAAATATTGTCTTTCCTCGAGAAAATGCATCTGATGTCTCTCAACTCCAATTCCTCAACATTCGCTTCAATGATTCCGAAGAAGTTTGTCATCTCGATTTCAGTTCGAAAAGCGTGATAGTAAAAGCGCACCGAAATCCATTTGAATGATGCCAGCATCATTTGATTGTTTGTTTTTGCGTTCCACTTCAAACACGTTACACAATTTCTTATACACTTTTTTATTTTCGACTTCAAAGCAGGAATATGATACGTTTCTCTGACTTCTTTTTCTATTAATTGATTGCCAGCATGGCCAAAATTTAAATGAATATCTCGAATAATTATTTCAATAATATGACAATTTTGCAATATAATTGGGTGCCGTTGATTTTCCGATATGAATTTTGCTTTTGTAAGCCTACCCCCAATTCTCAATAAATTATCGCGATCATCAATAAACGGATTTAATGGGGTCATCCAACATTTCTTTGGTAGGCTTTTATTTTGTTCAAGTTTTTCAATTACATCAGAAAATAATAATTCTTGTTGGCGTCGAATAATTCTGTTTCTTGTTCTCAATATTTCTTCACTACTCAGTGGTTCTGAAAACCTATTAATAGTTGCATTTTTATTTCTTTTAATTACATTTACCCAACGTAAACATTTTGATAAAACTCGTAGCATTTTTTTCCAATTTGAAAAGCGATTCAGAAATTCTACGTCAACAACCTCAATTGCGAATGACACACATTGTTCTTCTTTGCAAGGTGTTTTTGGTAATTCATCATTTTGTAACCAAGCGGGGCCATTAAACCATATTTTGTTGGCAATAAAATCTTCTGACGTTGCACCTCTCGATGCCATATCAGCAGGGGTTTCCTCAGATTTAACATAGTGAATATCGCTTGGATTTATCATTTTTTGAACTTTCATTACTCTACGTTTTATAAATTTGTTTTCAATTTCTTTCCCATTTCTAACCCATGCTAGTGCAATTTCACTATCAGTGTAAGCTACAAATTTTACAACAAGATTTTCAAAGCATTTTATCGTATTTTTATATAAGTCAATCAACAAGCCAATAGCTTCAAGTTCCATTTTCGGGATGGTATTGAAAGTGCTTTCTTTATTTTCTTTAGTTTTCAACGGTGTAACTCTTCCTTTAGCAGCGATTATTCTAATAATGTAACCAGAAGATTGCTTTACTCGACTGTAAATGACAGCCGCATATGCATCATTTGATGCATCACTAAACCCAATTAATTCTATTACTGTTGATTTAAAGTTCCCTGTCCATCTTGGAATGCAAATATTATTAAGTAATGTCAATGATTCTAAACATTTTGTAAACATAATTTCGGTTTTTTCGTCGATTTGATCATCCCAATCACATTTTCCTAACCAAAGTTGTTGAATTAAAATTCTAAACATCATTATGACTGGAAGTATCCAGCCTAATGGATCATATAAAGAAGCAGCAATAGATAATAATTTCCTTTTTATAAATTTTGTTGGTTTCTTTTTTTTAATTTTATAGCTAAATTCGTCAGTCAGTCGAGCAATTAAATTGAAGCCCTAAAGTTTTAATTTTATCTTCGCTTTTGTCTAAAGATATGAAAGCTTTAATTTTATCTTTATCTTCCACATTTTTCAACACTTCTCGTGAGTTGCTAGCCCATTTTGTTAAATGCAACTTTCCCTTATGTAATGTATTGGTTATTTCACGTATGTCTGATTGACATTCTTCTACCGTGTCTGCTCCGTATAGCAAATCATCCATATAAAAACTTTCATGAATTATTTTCTTAATTCTCTCTGAATCAGTGTTATCATCAGCAATCTGATGCAATGTTCGTATTGCTTGCCATGGGGCACAATCCATACCATATGTCACTGTATTTAATTGATATTCATCAATAGGGAGATCTACATTTTCTCTCCATAAAATTCTTATCTTTTTTCTGTCGTCTTCTTTTAACAAAATTTGGCGATACATTTTCGTAACATCGCTAGAATAAATAAACTGAAACTGACGCATTGTTGTTATTGTATCAAATATCAATGTTTGTAATTTCGGACCAGCATGAATAAGTTTATTTAATGAAACACCATTTGAAGATGGGCAGCTGGCATTAAAAACATTTCTTAATTTCGTTGTTAATGCATCTTCGCGTAACACGCTAAGATAAGGAATATAGTAAACAGAACCGTCTGTTACTTTCAGATTTTCGTCATTTGATATTTTTGTCATATGATTTAATAATAAATATTCTTTCATAAATTCATCAGATTTTAATTTGTGAGGTGGATTTTTATTCCACCGTTTCTCTTGGTTTAAAAATTGATTTATAGCTGCATCATATGAATTGCCTAATAATGGCAATGATTGTTTCCAAGGTATTGGAACAATGTAACGACCTTCTTGGTCTCTTTCATAAGTATTCATAAAAAGTTTTTCGCAATATTCTGAGTCAAGCTCAGTTTCTTCATTTTTCGTAAGTGGTAAATCCCAAAATAATTTTAAATCATTTATAAATTCTTCTAATTCAACTTCTTTAAAATTCGCTTCTTCATTAATTACGTTAATATTTGATGAAGTAATTTCCGAAACTTTCGCATTGCCTCCACAAACTATCCACCCAAAGACTGTATGTTGGAAAAGGAAATTATTTATAGTCTTTGTTCCTTCTAACATAATTTCTGAAAACATATTTGCACCTAAAAGGAGTCCGATATTAGTCGATCCATAAGGATCAGCAAGTGGTTTTGGAAGATCTTTTGTATTATTTAATTGAGACGGGTAACTTGGTATTTTTGACGTTACTCGTTTCACCACAAGTGCTTTTAATTTAATTATACGAAAAGTAGGAAATTTAACTTCGATTTTTAAATTTACAACTGCATTTATTTTACCAGCAGTCATTCCGCCTATACCGAAGGCTGTAACAAGAGTTTTTTTCTTTTGTAGTCTCAGTTTTTGTACCACATCTTCTGAAATAAAGTTAGATTGACTTCCAGAATCAATTAAAGTTCTTATGGGGACCGTTTCCCCGTACTTATCTTGTATTTTAACCGACGCTGTTGGAAGAATAACTTCCGAAGTTGTTTCAGATTTATTGCTATTGAAGTTTGTAATTACGTTATTTGCTTTTTCATTTGTAGTTTCACAAATATGTGATTGCGTTTGGAATGTGACATTGCGTTGAGTCCACTCAGAATGTAGTTCTGTTAAATGTCTCCCACGACATATGGCGCATTTAATTTGGAATCGAGATCCACAAGGCTGACCATAATATTTGTGTCTAGCACAAGTAATACAAACTTCCTGAGACTTCAATATACCTATCTTATCCCTTGAAGCTTTAAAAGTGGGACAATCTAAAACGCGATGAGTGTTTTGTTCACATATGAAACATCGCCAATAATTATTTTTACGATGATAGTTATTTTGATTCTGATAGTTATTTTGATTCTGATAGTTATTTTGATTCTGATAGTTATTTTCTTCTTGCGTCACCGTGAATGATTGGCTTTCAATTCCCCTGACTTTTTCAGATTTTTTCTTCCCTAAGTTACATTCGACTGTATCGTCATGAGCTTTATTATAAATTCTCTCCAAATATCTATTTATTTCTTCTTTCGTTGGCAATCTGTTCTTTTGCCCATAAACTTCAAAAAACGTATTCTTCATGTCATTGTTTAATTTAGTGATGAATAAATGACACAATAGATCTTGTGCTGAGAGATTATGTAACGTAACTGCTTTAAGGGCATTTGCCCACATTGATTGGAAACTCGCGACTTGGTTCCTAGACGTTGTTGGTATTGGTGTTACTATAAATTCTTTTACTTGTTTTTCTATAATAATGTTTTCATCAAGAAATCTAACATCTAATAATTCCCAAAGTTCAACCAAATTTTCATCTCTAGAGCTCAAATGCTGAATAGTATTAANATTCTAAACATTTCGTAAACATAATTTCGGTTTTTTCGTCGATTTGATCATCCCAATCACATTTTCCTAACCAAAGTTGTTGAATTAAAATTCTAAACATCATTATAACTGGAAGTATCCAGCCTAATGGATCATATAGAGAAGCAGCAATAGATAATAATTTTCTTTTTGTAAATTTTGTTGGTTTCTTTTCTGAAATTTTATAACTAAATTCATCAGTCGAGCAATTAAATTGAAGCCCTAAAGTTTTAATTTTGTCTTCGCTTTTGTCTAAAGAAATGAAAGCTTTAATTTTGTCTTTATCTTCAACATTTTTCAACACTTCTCGAGAGTTGCTAGCCCATTTTGTTAAATGCAACTTTCCTTTATGTAAAGTATTAGTTATTTCTTGTATATCTGATTGACATTCTTCTACCGTGTCTGCTCCGTATAGCAAATCATCCATATAAAAACTTTCATGAATTATTTTCTTAATTCTCTCTGAATCAGTGTTATCATCAGCAATCTGATGCAATGTTCGTATTGCTTGCCATGGGGCACAATCCATCCCATATGTCACTGTATTTAATTGATATTCATCAATAGGGAGATCTACATTTTCTCTCCATAAAATTCTTATCTTTTTTCTGTCGTCTTCTTTTAACAAAATTTGGCGATACATTTTCGTAACATCGCTAGAATAAATAAACTGAAACTGACGCATTGTTGTTATTGTATCAAATATCAATGTTTGTAATTTCGGACCAGCATGAATAAGTTTATTTAATGAAACACCATTTGAAGATGGGCAGCTGGCATTAAAAACATTTCTTAATTTCGTTGTTAATGCATCTTCGCGTAACACGCTAAGATAAGGAATATAGTAAACAGAACCGTCTGTTACTTTCAGATTTTCGTCATTTGATCCGGCTCGAAGGACCATTTTTGGAGCTTGTGAATCTCCTGAAAACAAAGTGCTTTTATAAAAACACTCAAGACTAGACACTGAACTGACCGTTTGCTAATAGCTAAATAAGTCAGCCAATGCTAGTCTTGTTGAAACTCAATTCTTTTCTTGTCGAAATGTGAACTAAAAAGAACTCTTTATTAACTTCAAACTTTTGCTTTTATAATATAATTTTGCTGATTGTATTAATTTTGCTTATATCTATAAATTGAAATGATGACCGAAATGGAAAATATATTGATATAATGAGGGCAATTACATTCTTTTTGCTTACGAATCTTATTCATATTTTTCATGTTTGTATTGAAATAAAAAAGGGAATTTTGCCTTCTCCAGAGCTTTTAAGTTGTAGAAAACTTCTCCGTCATTTTTATATCGTTCCAGCAGATCTAGAACAATATATTTTTGCTTGAGTGACGGTCTGGCGTGCAGAAACGTGTTCCTGGTTGCTTTGAGGGAGTCCAAAACGACGTCGTCGATCTCTTTATAGACTTTTCTCGTTTTAACTGTTCCGACTCTCTTCAAGTAAACCATGTAGGCTGGTGTTGGGATGTAGCTTATTTTTTTCGCCACCCCAACGATCTTCGGTTGTTTTAAAGCGTGATATAATGGTTTTTCACGAATATCTTCATAAAACCATTGTTGGGTTTTATCGGAGTGTCCAAACTTAGTTTCCAGATATTTTGGTAATCGTAAGTAAGCCATTGTTATTATATTCACTGGGGTTTTTCTTAAATACTTTACACGTTCGCGTATAAACTTGTACTGACTGGTATTTTGGTTGAATTGCGTTGATTTTTCTTTTTCGATCTTCTCCTTTCTTATCCTATTTTTATTGGTGTGTGTGTGGTTTACGAAACAGTCATACGGTTTTTTTTCAATTTGTGTTGGTGGATTCCAATAGGAATTTTATAACTCTGTCGAGGGTGCAGCTGACCTGAATATCTCTAACAAGTCTTCATACTCTTCTTCCAGGTTCAACTTTGACAACTGTTCTACCTTCCCTTTTAGTATTTCGACGTTTTCAGTGTTAATTGGTGGCTGTTGTTTTAATATTTCGTCAATTTCAAGAGAGGCTAGAATTTTTTCAGTGTTGTTGATGAGAGACTTGACTTTGAAGCGAGTTATTGCGTCTGGAGAATTTCTTTTTAATCCAATTAAGGCCCTTCTTAAAATGACATTATGAATCATTTGGGGAAAGAAAGAAAGCATAAATTCTATTTCTTCTAATGGAGTCAGTTGTTTTTTTGCATAAGTTTGATAATCATTTTGATTCTTAACAAAAGACGAATTCGACTGATTTTTCAACACTCTTCATCTGTTTTCAACATCATTCCTTACATTAGTTAAATTGTTTAAAACCAATAAAAAATCATTTTTATTCGTTTTAATACTTAAATAAAAGAATTATTTTATTCTTGATTATTTTTAGTTGTTCCTTCGTTGAAACTTATGTATAATGCTAATGCGACGAGAGCTTCGCCGTCGTCCCCGAGTGGAACGAAATATTCGAGATTTCGAACATTCCCTTATTCACGACTTCAGTCTTACATTACTTTACTTTAGATAAAATCCTAGTAACGTTGAAAGCATTCTTTATTTTTTTAATAAATTTAATAGGACTAAGAAAAAGAGATTAAAAATTAAATGAAGAAAATTTATTTCAATTAAATTGTCTCGAAAGAAACAAACCTCAATCAAATTGAAAAGATCTGATTAGAAAAATGAATCCTTAAAAGTATAAAGACTTGAATAAATATTCGTCCCTTAAATTGATTTTGTAACTTTTTCTTATTAAATAAATTTGTTCAGATAATTAATTTTCGGATTTTTAACTTCACCAAGTAGATATTAAATTATCACTCAATTAAATTTTTATCTCCCCTTTTTCCCCTCCATCTTTCCCTTGATTCGTACATTCTTTCATAAAATATGGAGAACGATTAATATTGCTTTATTTCAATAAATTATGTTAACAAACCAGAAGAGAAATTAAGATGATAAGATACATCAGGTGCATTGACTAAAACATTAAATTTACTCTTTAATCATCCTTGTCTTGCACAATTTAGTAATATTGGAAATCTGTTTCATAATAATGAAAAATTGAATAAAAAAAAATTCATTCAAATCAAATTTCCATATTTGGCTGCTTTAACAAACATCCTTACATAAAGATAGAGAAATATTCATATTCATGCAAATATTTGGTGCAGTCATGCTTTGAGTAAAATTCATCTAAGAGTGAGAAAGAATTTTTTATTGTCAAACTTTTCCCTACATTCAACATGATATGAATTAAAAATAATTTTTCACAAAGAATTTTTATCAAGATAACTTTCTTCTATGTTAAATAAGAATTACATATAAAAAGCATACTTTAATTGTTTGAATTTTATGTATAAAATTAAAATTATAAATACCAAAAATTAAACAACAAAAAAATATTTATAAAGATTTTTAACATTTTTTAAAATCAGATAACTCAATTTTATAAAAGAATGATGAAAAAATAGTAATCATAATGATACATAGGTTAGATTAGATGTTAAGCTGAATTTTTATTGTATAACTCATGTCACTAAATCATTCCTACAAACGTTACAACTTGCAAGTATGTTATTTGAAAACAAGTTAAGATTCTCGACACGAGATAGAGCTTCTGTCTCGAACACATTCCAACTTTATTACGATTGCTAAATAACTCACAGGAAAATTTTCATTCTGACATTAATAAAATGAGAATATACAAAAAACATTCTTTTGCAAAATTAAACGGCGATATCTTCAAAATTTTAATGTATTTAAACAAAGTTTAGCAATTATAAATTCAAGCCAGAAAGTTTATTCATAACATTAGAATGATAACAATCAAAAATTTTGAAAGAAATTCAACTGAGAGCGTTTATTTCTTGTTCTCGGAGAGAAGACGAAACATGTTCAACAAGAAAAATTAACAACATAAACAAAACTTAAGCGCGCAATTGAATTCATCAAAAATTTCCTCGTTTCGAGAAAAGAGCAAAAGCACATTTTCTTCGTCTGGCTTGCCGTCACAGAGATTTCCTTACAACACATGAGACCATGGCGAAAAGAAAACCAGCAAATACAATTTTCCATCCACAACGCACAACAACAACGACGACTCACGCTCGGAACATTTTCAAAAAAAAATCATTCTTCAGTTCAACGTTGAATCTTCTCGAGAACAGACGGAAAAGTAAAAGCGGCTTGAATAAAATCGGTTAAAAATTAAAAGTTGGAAATGAACTTCTATCTCATAGTGCAATAAGTTGTAACGTTTAGTTAATTGTTCAGTAATTACCAAAGTGAGATAAGAAAATAAAAATAATTTTCAAACTTATGTTATAAAAAAACGAATGAGAAAACTTTTTTGTTTTGAAGACTTTGTACATAAAAGAGAAGGTGGAATATCGTTTTATTTTTCAGGAGAACTTTACATGAAATGTAAAAAAAGAATAATCGAAAGCTCATTAATTGATGCTGTAGTTCGTTTGTTTTTCAGAATGATCCATAAAAATAAAAAGTAATGCTCAGTGGAAATAAGGAAAATGACTAAAAGTGGAAAAGTGTAGTGTGGTCTTAAAAAGGAAAAACCTTTTCTTCCTAATTACAGAAAAATATAATCTTATAACAAAAGCATTTAAAATCTTATTTATTCACTTTTTGCACAAGAAGTCTTGAATTGTTTGTTTAATAGCTCAGCTACACGCTTCTACCAAAAAAGAGAGAAACTAAAGGTGAAAGTAAAAATAAAAATTCAAATTGAACATTCACGGATAAGAGTTGATCCTACAATTGTGAATATTACAAACAACTTACAATTGTTGGGAGTCACGGAAAGCCGATAAGAGATTTTAAAAGGATTTCTTTGTGTCGGCTTGTTCAAGTGCTTCTGCTAAAGACTCAATCATAAAATTTGAATCTTTAATCTGCGTACGAGTGAAAGAAAAACAAAACATAAGAATAAAATGAGCAAGATTAAAATAAGACAACGCAAAAAATAATTGAAATCGTTTAAAATTCTTGATTCTGATTTCAGACAATCACAATATGTAATTCACTGAACTGAAATATTTTTATCTTGAAGTTGAATGAGTAAAGTGAAAAATATGTTTGCTTCAGCAAATGTTCATGAAATAGAAAACAGTCTCAATGGGAGTTAATAAAAGTTATTTGCTGTTTCGTTTGAGATTTTATTGAACTGTGAAATTTATTGAAAATGATAAGAAAATCATCGGTACTGTCTTTCATTACAATCTCCTTTCATGACGACATCTAAAACATTGTGGTAGCTTATTACAAAAATTAACCGCAAGCAATTTTAATTTATTTGTGAACAAGCAACAGACGATATTGACAATGATTGAGGACTTTGAATGATGTATTATTGTTAATACTTTTGGAGAACTAAGCATTTTAATTCTGGGTTCATGGTGAAAGATTAAATATTGTGGCTTTACTGATAAAAAAATACTTTCAACATTCAATTTCGGTAATTATCAAATCATGAATAAAGCCAAACTTCTAAATGAGTTTTAATAATCACATTTTTATTCCAATCTATCTCAATTATCAAAGGAACAATTAAAAATGATTTCTTGATTGCGAGAGGAATATTTCTTGACACAATTTTTTGATTCGTAATGTAATTGGAGATTAATGATTATCATTTATATCAAAACTGATTACTTGGAAGAATCGGATGTTGGTGGTCTGACTGATGTAATGATTCATTTTATGCGCACACTTTAATCTTATCGAAAGAGTTAAGCTTAAATGATAAGAAAAAAAATAAATCATAAGCTTTTACATGGAGATAACTCGTACATTTATTAAACATTCAACCTCAACTGAGACGTCACTTTTTCTATCGAATATTCATAAAAAAAATTAAATTTAAAAGCAATAGAAATTTAATTTTCTACCTTGTTCCCTTAAAACGTTGTCAACTTGTTTATTTTATGTAAGCGACCACAATGTTTATTTTTTCTTTTATGTATCGTTCGTCCTATCAATAAGAAATCAATTTAAAACGACTTCAGTATGCAGTCACCCCTAAGGGATTATTTTGTTAAACATTGATAAAGGCTCAATCAAAGGATACATTTTTAAATTAGACCTGATTTTTTCCTGAAGATTTATATGACATATATCTGTTGGAAGTTTCCATGACTTTAAACCAGAATTGTAAATAAAAAACGAAATTTCGCCACCTTTTAAAAGAGAAAAAATCCATGAAAAAGTACAGAGTTAAACTTAGTAAGAATACCTTTGAAGTTAGAGTTATAGGCTTAATTAAAATTCATTTGAATTTGAAATCTGAATAAGAAAATCTTAATTTGGACGTATTTTAAAGATAAATGAAATGATGCCTGAATATCTTAAGAAATCCTCGACACATTTTTAAAAGGGAAGAAAAATAAATAAAACAAGATTGTCATTTATTTGTGGTGTTAAGTATTTAAATTATTCAAATTACGACAAACATTTTAAAGAACAGGATTTCATCAAAACGTGTTCATAATTCCGTTTCTGTCATTAAATTTGTCATATTTGAAATTGATTTAAAGTTCTCTTAAAATGCTGAGTTCTTTCAGACAATAAAAATGAAAAATTGTTAACTTATTAAGAAATTTAAATAAAATTGAACGAAATGGCTTTCAATTTAATTGAAATCCATCTTTTAATTCATCATTAATGTCATCGTTCGTCAATTACTTAACGACAAAATTGAAATCCTCAATGGATCTCAATTAGACTTCAATTTCATTCATTCACTCAACGAGTTAAAATTATCGAATTATAATCGTGTTAAAGTTAATGTTTGTTAAGGATTCGAAACTTTAAAAGTTATTTATATCGAACAAGTCAGCAAAACCGCGAACAGGCTGAAAAAAATTGACCAACAAAAAAAATCGTTTAGTAAGCGCAATCCACGGGAAAATAAATATTTAAAATGAATTCACCCTTAGATCCTTGCCTTTGTTGATAGAATCAACCTTCCAAAGCTTACCTTCCTGGTTATACAAATTCATAAAATTCTCAGTCATGTTTGCAGTTGAGTTTTTACTTTTATTTCAGCGAGGATAAGCAATGATTTAATATGATAATTATTCAAACTATAAATCTGTTTATTAAAACAACGTGAAACTTATGTTGATGTTATTCTATATCGGTAATTTCGAAATGGAAATTTTGTTAATTATAATAAAATAATAAAATCACGTGAATTTTCTCACAACACTTTCACATGAATTCTGTTCGGAAAACGTTTGGTTGGATCTTGTAACAAAATATGAAATTTATTTTAAAATGATACGTATCGTGACAAAACAAACGTATTTAACAGAATATTAAATGAACGAATGTGTGTAGAATAAATACAAAATTAATTGATTATCAGATGAATTTTCAATGACGAAAATGAAAATTTAGAAATTTTAGTTGATAAAAAATATTCAATTTATTTTGCGTGCTTTTTATTTCAAACTTTTGAAATAAAGAAAAATATTTAAAAAGGATTGAAGATGAAAGAAAAACCATAAATATGATAGATAGCAAGCAAATATGATTTTATGTGAAAAATTGGATAAAATTCGCGTTTGATATTTGCACTTCAGTTGACTTTATCATTGAAAACTTCAAAGCATTAAATAAGTTGTAGAAGGAATATCCAGAAATGAATTCAATTTATGATATCTCAAATAAGCAATTCAGTAACAAGCACAAATCTCACTTTACATCAACATGAATGCTTAAAGAAAATTTTTATCCTTTTGAATATCAAATCGTGTGAAGAAGATTCAAATACAATTTTATTTAACTTGAATTTAAGATCAGAAAGATTTCATGATGCAAGTGAAACGTTAGTCAAAGCTTAGTCAATCCCCAAAATTCCAAAATTCATGTAAAATAAGCTAACTGGGACAGTAATTGACCATTTTACGTTCTTATCCAGCAGCATTTGACCGTAAATGTATATAAATTGGAAATTGATACTAAAATTTGTTCTCGTTCATCCTACAATATTCAAGAAAAGAAAGCAACAATGAGATGGTAGAAAAGAAACATTTTCATTGTAGAAAAATTTCAAATCGGATATGTTCGATTCTTTATTCAAATGAGAATTTACATATAATTCGTTCTCATCCTCAAAATCAAATCAATTTCTATTCAGTTTGCTGCTGTGACAGTATCAATTGACGTAATTCGATTTATGTTGGATTTTCCTGTCAGCTTTTTGATGATTCTATCTTAACGCATCTTTTCTTCCATCCATAGGTATTTAATTATGAAATTGTTACAATTATGTCATTTCAAACGTTACATGACAATGTATTTAAAAGAAATTGTAGATAAGACATCCAACGTTGGTGTTTATTTATATTGAATTTCATAAATATGTTTTCATTCATTTGTCAGTTGTTTAAAAAAACTTCATTTGAAACGTTACATAAACAAAAAGCTGAGAATTCAAGAATACAAAGAAATTCTTCATCAAGTTATACGTCACGAGTTTATATTTGGAATGAATGAAACTTTCATGACCTCATCACTCTGGAATAAATTGAAAGCTTTTTTTAAGACGAATAATGTAAATATTCATGAGATAACGCTGAGAAAGATGGGAAAAGATTTGTGATGAAGCATCGCTAAGCTATTTATCCAAGCGTGATTTAAGTTTATTTTCTATAAATATTGTTGCATGATAAGTTGGATGCAAAATACATATTGTTTGTAAAAGGGTTGAAGCGAATATAATCTGCAATGTCAAACAATGATTGAAAATAAAAATCCTGAAAGATAATTCTTCTTCATGTCAGAAGTATTGATATCAGGATTCAGTTAAACGGTCACCGATATACTCGGTCACCAAAAGCTCGATGAAGTCTTGATCAAGTTAAATGCAACTTGAAAAATGTTGTTGAAATATGTTTTGAAAAAGCTGGAGAAAGCACTTCTCCTATGAAACATTAATTTTCACAGTAAACAAGCATTTTCAATTGCTGGCTGATTTAAAAGCAAAATGCAAATCATACTTCAATTAACAAGTTATTCGTTTTCATACTCATCGAATAGTCGTTTAACCAAAGTGTAGAAAAAACTGGTTAATTGATAAATGAGTTAGAAGAATTGTAAGAAGAAAAATAAGGTAGATAACATATTGTGGGTATAACATCTTATCCATAGCTGAGCATACCCAGAATGTGTTCACTTTTTCTCTGTACCCACAAAATGTTCTTTTACCCTATTAAGGAACAACTTTTATAAACAGGTTTCTAATTTATCGTAAGTCTCTAAAGGCTTGCTGCAATCCCAATTTGTAATTAAAAATTAATAAATGCTGTGATTTTATATTTACAATGTAGATATGATGACATTGTGCGAACTTATGTTATCACTTCAGAATTAAAATTGATAAGTGAACACATTGAAGAGAAGAAGAAAATTGGTTGTAAGTTTCATGGTGTAATAACCGATTGAGGACGATTAAGAAGTAGATCAACAGCTTCTCTTATCTATCACGTTTTTAAATCCAATCAAGAATGTGTTGCTGAAGTCAAAAGTAAATCAGTTGATTGTCAAGAGTGAAGTTTAAAACACGTCATTATATTCACAAGAAAAATTCGCGACTCTCAAAGCGAGTTTAGCAAAAAATTAAGATAGTGAAGTATACGCTTTAAATTCGTTCAAGGATGAGTTATTGAAGTTAACAGTAAATCAGTTGATTGTCAAGAATCAAGTTTTAAACACGTAATCATTTTCACAAGACGAAATCGCGAGTTTCAAAGCAAGTGTAACTAAGAATTAAGATAATGAAATATTGAAACCTCTTCAATCAAGCCTGATAATTAAAGCGAAAATAAGAAAAAGAAATCTTTTCTTGATATTCCGGTTCTTCAAAAAATCCGAAATAACTCGAAAAGATTCCAATAAGTCCACTGCCACCTACAACTGAATAAAAAATCTTTCTGCGATTTAACTTATTAAAGATCTTCGTTAATCCTAATCTTGATTTCAATTAAGCACACAAATTACTCAGATTGAAACAGCAAATTGGCAATGAAAAATGAACATCATCTTCCATAATCCACTTAAAATTTAATTTTTCCTTTTTTCCACAATTAACTCAAGTCAGGGACAAGTACAAAAATCCTGTAAAACGAACGTGATAAAACAAATGTGAGTGAGTTAGAAGATTGGGTAGAAAAGTGTAGAAAAAGAAGTGAATAATGAATCAATCATCAATTAATCAACATTTTAATTCAATGCTTGAGCAATTGTCATCGTTAAGACGTAAGAACTCTGACAGTTCACAATCAGCTTCAAGTGATAAGCATCACGAAAGTAACCACAAAAAAGTCAACGACATAGACTCGGTGAACAATAAGTCAAAGAACAGTATTTTTAAGAACTTTATAAGTGAAAACGGTGCCACAAACATTTTCCACAACTTGATTAAATGTCCTGAAACCATCTCCAGTCATTTAAATACAGCGACAAGTTCATCTTCAAATGGTACATACAAACAAAACAACGACAATCACAACGAAAATAATAATAATAAAGAAGAGACTGTAGCCATCGTTGCAACTTTACAGCCAACTGATAATGAAAACAACTCCAATTTAATCCACAAAAAACGTAACAGTGTTGTTAAGACAATGCAGAATTCCAACGGCGATTTAACTCTTTTGCATCGTGAATTGTCGCCATCCCCACGTGTACATCGGAAATCGTCTCACGATATTCGTCTCCTACGTAATAACCAAATGATTCTTGAATCCGGAGAAAATGGGGAAGTGGGAAAATTGACAGGTGTAAAGCCTTTAAAAACCAAGAACATTATCACAAAACATGAGACGTTTGACATGCTCAACTACCGTGCTATGGATGTGAGTATGATAAAAAAAATATTTCAATTCATTTAATTCCATTAATTATGCATCATATAAGCTGCTTTACTCTTCCTTCACTTCCTGACTTCATCATTGCGACTTTAATTTCATGCTTCATGAAAATCCTTTTAAATAGCGACTTCAATTATTAATAAGAAGTAGAGAACGGCACAAATACTTGCAGAATTAAAGAATCGTCTCAAATATTTCTTCTACCGTTTGATAAACATATCAAACATTTAATTTCATTACGAAGTATTTTCTGATTTTTCATTTGAAATCCAAGCTGCACAATGAAACGTGAGATGACCACATAAACATAATAAAAAAGATTCTTGCAATGAAACTCATCTCAAGTGCATAATAAATAAATAAGGGAGTCAAAACAGAACCCTTTAGCGAAACATAAATAAATAAAATTCTTAAGAGACATAAACAAATGATCTGAAAAGAGAGAAAAATAAAACGAAATGACGATATTAAATCTGCTTGATGGTAATAAGTTTTGATGACTTCTTTTCCATCTCATATTTCATCCGTCGTCGACTTGATTGATATAGGAATGTTTCTGGACGTTCTGATACCCAATTGTGCTCGTAAACAATTAACACCCTTTATTAATGGCGTGATATAAATTATGTAACCATCAGTTTGAGTCGCAAGCGTTGAGTATCTAAATCTTTATCGTGTCGCTTCACTGATGAGGCTTGTCAGATTGACAAAAATTTAATGTTTATCTTAATTCTTACAGTGTTTAGATTGAATGATAAAGTGGCTGCGAATCATCCAAAACAGAGAAAAATTTCCACATGACTCATATGAATGCAATCCAAACATCATCTCACTCTGATTTCATTAAGCTTTTCCTCGAAACTTTAACGTTTAAAATCATGAAGGATTTATCCATAAATTATGTCATATTAAAATCGATATGCAAGCATTGATGTGTTCTGCTTTCGTGTCATGATCCTATGTAAGCCAACCATTAAAATTAATTAGTCAATCCTGTTTACATAAATACTTCATCCCAACAACACGACATTAAAACTTCATGTGACAACATAGCACTGCGTAAACTTTTGTGTTACGATAAAAAGTAAACGATAATAAAAGTTTTTCGTCTCGAAGGGATGATGTGGTGAAAAGGGAGAAGTGTTTGTCAAAGTATCAAATACTTATGAAACTTAACTGTTGATTACTGTTCTTTTCAACTATACTTGATGACAATGCTTAATAGGCTAATGATGGGACAAGAAATTTCAATGACAATAGTAAATATTTGTCAAAAACTTGACAATCATAGGAAGTATCATTAATGAGAAGTCTTGAGTTAAGGATATTATGATGTTAGTCTTGAAGTAAGGGGAAGAAATATTGAAAGTTTAAAAAGAATTTAAGAAGAGAATTGTTGGTCTTTTGTTTCGTCTCTCAAACAAACAAGATAATGTGTTCAACAGACAATCTTGATACGATAACTTTGCAATGTTTTGCAAGAAATTTTAATTATGATTTTCTTCAACTTTTGTATGCAAGCTTTGCGAAGAAATAAGAAGACAAATTTTACTTTAAAATAAACGATAATTGAGTGCTTTTGTTCAATTGACATACTTCTAGCTTCTGCTTGATTCTAACTTTGTAAAACTTTCCTGAACCTTTCGCACTTTATGCTTCTTATCGACCTGCATTTGACAGTTCCTATAGGAACTTTCACAAACTTCAGGCAAAATATTTGTAGAATAAAATTAATAGATATGAAAATTCTCTTAGAGTCTTGAGATATTTTTGTTTGTACACAAAAGGTCTATAGAACGAAAGGAGAGAGAAAAAAGTGTATACCTTTATACTTACAGAAGGCGGTAGATTGTTCCTTGTTTATCAGATTGCCGCCTCGATTCTAACGTTATCAGAAATACAAACACAACAAGTTCAAGAAGCTCAAACTTATTTATTTGCTACGAATTGGTGGAAATTATCGAAAAACCACTGTGTGGACTTATCAAGGAAGAAGATTACGATTATTCCACCCACGCATGAAAGTATTTACAGCATAGATTTCAAGAGATTGATTATAGTTTAAGAAGGTTGTTGGCAGAAATCAACTAACCAATTTTCCTGTTTTCTTCTTATCCAGTTAAGTTCTTAAGCATAAGTCCAAAGTTTTGATAAACACTTTAATCAGAATAAAAAGAAAAGCACTTTCGTAAACATCCTGACCCTTGACAAAGATTAAAGAATGAGGTTCTAAACTGCCTAAGGCATTGAGGTTTTAGGAAATCGATTGAAGACTTGAACATATTTTCGTGATTGCACGGAGAATATTTTGCATATCTCTCTCTATTGTTTAAGATTATAAAAGCTTAAAGATTTTTCAACTGAGATTTCGAACATTTAAATCTGTTGAAATTTTTGTGCCTTATTTACCTCGTACAAACTCGATGAAACGTGTAGACACGTATTATCTTCTACATTCGCTAATCGGAATGCAAGATGTGTCATAAGCTATTATATTGTCATAGAATTTGATATGTTTAAGAATTAGGAGTTGAGTTTTTAATGCGCGTGAATATTAATGGAATCCTCCCCCACTTTCGTTTCTACACGTTAAATTTTATTATATTTTTCTCCTCATGAATCTTTTAGCAAAAGAACCTTCTAATGTTCTATGACGTTGTCAAATAAAATGCTGTGAATGTAGGAAAACAATTTCCCTGAGTTTCTTAATTAACAAAGTTTCAATTAGGAAAGAAACTACAAAAGTGGAAAATCTACATGTCATTGTTAGGAAGAATTTGTATGTGTTAATCCACGGTTAATCATCCAACTTATGCTATAGAAAATTTGATAATTTTCTTCAACAATTATCACGTTACATCTATTAATTATTATGTCATTAATTTCAGTCACTCAGCTGTACGAGTCAAGTGTGCATGGGAAGTGTGATGATGGGAAATGTTTTCACTGTTGAAACAAGAAAAAGCGAAATTGTTCTTCAACATGCAAAAGATTTTCTCAACCAATATTTTACATCGATAAGAAGGTAATTGAACTTTATAGCTTGTTATCTTGAGAATAAAAGTCATGGTGAAGTTTAATCATAACCCAATAAAAATAAATCTTTTTAAAAGGACTTTAGTTATTCATTTTAATCGATGGAAGTTTATAAATCGTTTTTATTATAAAGATGAAGAGTGGCAATGTGAATTATCTCAATAAATTTGCATGAAAAATTTCTGGATGAAAACTTTTTCCAACATTTTTTTTTCATCTCTTCAACGAATCCATCTGGTTATCCCAGTCGTTTTGAAGTTTATGTCCTAAATCGAAATATTTATGCATAAAGCTTTAAAACGGTTTTACGATTCTTTGAGCATCGTTATCGTTGTCGTTTTTCTCATCTTTCCTTCACCATTCAGTCACAGTTTCCTAGTTGTTATTTTATCGTGAAAGTCATCCCGTTTAATGAATTGACAATATTGCCAGCTTTCAACATTAACGATAGACACAATTGGCATGGAATTCGAATAAAGATGAGATAGAGAATGATAAACACTGACCCATTGATTCAAAGGAATCACTCAATGAAAAAGAAAAGCTTGATGCGAATTAACAATAGAAATCAAACGGGTAGTAAATTGAATTTTTCTTATTAGATTATTTCGGGAAAGAAAGCAAAGAAATGAAAATAGAAAGCTTTATTGTGATTGTGAAAATTGCTGTAAATCGAATTGAAACGGGAGCATAAATAAAAAACATTGACAATTATGTTATTTTATCAAAGAATTTGATTTCAGCAGCATAAAGCTAGAGAAGCATCGAATTACAATTGAATTATTATTACTTATTGAGTTATTTGATTAAATTTGATGGTTAAGGCATTTGACTTTGACGCGTGTTAAAATTCCTAAATGAATTTAATTTCTTCTCATGAAAATGTTACTCCATTTAGATTTAATTCCCCGGCTCATCAAGCTCGATGGAAGCAAATTGAAAAGGAAATTCAAACAGCGGGAGGATATCAATTAAACGATTCGGAATTAATTTTTGGAGCGAAAACAGCGTGGAGAAATTCAGCCCGATGCATTGGTAGAATTCAATGGTCTAAGTTACAGGTGGGTGACGATTTTCTTTAACAACTTTTAAAGTAAATAAAAATTATTTAATAAGAAGGAAGTTTTAAAATTGAGAAAATCGATTTTCGTTTCTCACAACGTAACTCATTACAGGAAATTAGTTTTCAATTCATTTGTGTTACCTTCTCCATTGCCCTTATAAATGACCTAAAACGACAAGTCAATCAATCATGTATTACTTAAATAATCAAAATGTCAGTTTGTTTCTAAATGATTTTGAACTGAATCAACAGGTGTTCGATTGTCGGCAACTATCAACCCCGTCTCAAATGTTTGAAGCTCTCTGCAATCATTTAAAGTATAGCACGAACAAAGGAAACTTAAGGTAAGAAAGTTTAATGGTTACTCAACATAATATTTTCACAATCAAAGCAACAAGTTGATTGAGACGGGTGTTTTTGATTGTAGGTCGGCAATAACGATTTTCCCACAACGAACCGATGGAAAGCATGATTTTCGAATATGGAATCCTCAGGTTGTTGATTTACATCTTGATTTCCGATAACTTTATTAATATTTCTCTTCACTTTCTCAGTTGGTTTCTTATGCGGGGTATCAGAATAATGACGGAACATTCGTTGGCGATCCGATGAACGTTGAGATTACTGACGTAGGCAATTTATATTTAATGTTACAACGTGGATAAATAAATAATGAATTTTAATTTCCTTTTTAAAAAATTCAGCTTTGTCTTAAACTGGGATGGAAGTCACCAAGAACCGAGTTTGACATTTTACCTCTCGTACTGTCAGCCAATGGACATGAGTAATTTAACAAAATCTTTTTTCTTTCTCTTTAATTAACATCATTAATCATAACGTTTGTTACTCTTTGCAACAGCCCAGAAATGTTTGAATATCCACCAGATTTGATACTCGAGGTGCCTTTGGTTCATCCCCAGTAATTATTTTCTTCTATTATTCAGTTGACATCCTTTGTAATTAAAATTATTTTATTTTGTTTTCTTCTTCTCACTGATGCTGAAAAGATTCAAATGGTTTGCAGATATGAATTTGAAATGGTATGCAGTTCCTGGTAAGTAATTAGTGAATTGTGTTCTATTTCACTTTTATCCACCATCTACATGTCAAAGCAATGAAAAATAATTCTATCAACTCGTTTTTCATCCCACAAGCTGTTTCAAGTATGCTTTTCGACTGTGGTGGCTTGGTGTTTCCAGGTTGCGCTTTCAGTGGATGGTACATGTCGACGGGTGAGTTTGAAAGCTTTTTATTACATTTCGAGTCTCGATTGCAAATAAAAACTTAAAAGGAAAGAAGAAAAAATGTTCACACGTGTTCCTTTTTATCGTCCTTCACTGCTTTAGAAATTGGCTGCCGAAACTTATGTGACACTAATCGACGAAATCTCCTGGAGGTGGGTATTGTGATTAATTACAAACTGTGACAGTTTTAGAGACCTTTTAATCTGGATTTTAATGGAGTTTGAATCCAACTTAAATTAATTTATGTGAAATTTTTTTATATCTTTAAACCTTCATCCACTCCCCAATTATACTTCACGACTTTTATTTCATAGTTTTCGAACAATCCCTGCGGAAACAATTCAAAAGCGGAAACTTTTTCACACTTAATCCTGAAAATAAGAAAAAGTTTCAGATTATTTCTAACGTTTCTTTTTTTCAATTTTCTGTTTCGAATCCCAATAAAATTTTGTATGTGATAAAATAGCCGATAGCAATTAAAATGGGATTGGACACAAGAAATCCTAGCTCGTTATGGAAAGATAAAGCGCTTGTGGAAATAAATATTGCCGTATTGCATTCATATCAAAGGAAAAACATCACCATTGTTGATCATCATACGGCGAGTGAAAGCTTTATGAAGCATTATGAAAACGAAAGTAAACTTCGTAAAGGATGTCCAGCCGATTGGGTTTGGATCGTTCCGTGAGTTGTTAGAAATGAAAATAGTTTAAATTTCGTTTTGTGAATGAAAGTTTTTATTTGATAGACCCATGTCAGCATCGGTGATGCAAGTTTTTCATCAAGAAATGGTTGCTTATTATCTCAGACCTTCGTTTGAATATCAAGAAGCACCAAGTATGTATTAATGTGCTATCAAATGATTGATTAATGTTGTTTTATCTAATGTTCTTTTAAATTGTAACGTCTATTCTAATATTACAGTGAAGACACACATCTGGAAGAAAGGCAGAGAATCCATAAAAAATAAGAAACCGAGAAGGAAATTTCATTTCAAACAAATCGCAAGGTAAAAAAAGTTTTTACTTTGATAGACGACATTTTGAAAGGCTTTAATTTTTGAGATGTTATACAAATATTTAGAAAGATTGATTGAACGTATTTTAATAGCAATTCTGTCATGGCTAACGACTGTTAGAATTGGTGGCAAGTCGAGCAAATTCTTTTGAAATTCAAATTATTTTTATTTAAATTGATTCAAAACTTTGTAATTTATTTACAGAGATTTTATTTTTACATGTTGAAGGTTTTAAAAAGCCTAAGAACTTATGAGTTTCTCTAACCCATTAGGGTCTAAATATTCAGAAAATCTCACAATAATACTTAATCTTCAATGAATTTGACTCAAAAGATTATTTCGTTGAATCACCAAAGTTCCATAGCTTTAATCCCATTTAGTTTTTATCAACGAATTTCAGAAACTTTCCCAACCATTTCAACAGTTTTCATTGATTTGCTACCTCAAATAACATAAATTCTTGAAGAATATCTTGTTAAACCCTTTCAATAACCAAGGAAAAGAAAAATATAATAATAAAAATCAAATATCTTTAAACATCATTTTCATTCAGGTTTATTTGGTCCATCCAAAACTTTTATGTTGCGTATGTTTTCCTTCCTTTTCCTTCCGATTTCTTTTTCATCTCTTTATGTTGTTAGATATGTTAAGTAAATTTGTAATTCTAAAATTTTTGTCTGTTCCCAATTTTTATATATTTTGTTCGGCTTCAAGCACTTGTACAATGAATTGATATCAATGGGGGTTTGAAAGCGAACATTAGCCTCTTTTCATTTCATTCTTACAATGGGAATTGCATTCAAATCAAGTTTGTTGAGGGATCAATTCAAAAACTTTTTTAACATCATTTTCCCTTTTTTGTTATGAATTTTTAACAGAGCGGTAAAGTTTACATCAAAATTGTTCGGTAGAGCATTGAGTCGAAGAATTAAAGCAACAGTTTTGTATGCTTCTGAAACTGGACGTTCAGAACAATATGCCAAACAACTTGTTGAACTTTTAAGCCATGCTTTTAACGCTCAGGTAGTTAACCTTCATTTAACGACTCATTAAATTGTTATGTACACCAAACCAATTAAATAACAAACTTTATTACTTTAGATTTACAATATGGCTGAATACGATATTTCTTCTATCGAGCATGAAGCACTTTTATTCGTTGTGGCTTCAACTTTTGGCAATGGAGATCCACCAGAGAATGGAGAACAATTTGCACAAGGGTTATATGCAATGAAAATGCACGATAGCGATGTTGACTTTACCCACCTAAGGTGAGTTTATTCATAATGTTCATATGAAAATCAAGGAAATTATTACAAAGAGATAAAAAAATTACTGTTGGAAGCAGTAATGTAGCACATTTAAACTTATAATCGTCATAAGTCATGAAATCGTGTATGTGAATATTTGAAATAAGTTTTATTCGCTGAGAAACGTCATGTTTTTGAAAGTTGACAGGTTCAAATTGTTGTCTCAATATCTTCACGCTAATATTTTGAAGTAACATAAAAATTCATTCAATCCATTCTACCTTTGACATGGAAATTCTTTTCATTTATTTTCTTGACAGGGCATTAACGTCAAATATCGCTTTCCACCTGCATTGTTACACTTTCACACTTTCAGATTTTATGGATCAATATTTTTTAATATTTATTTCTTGCCAACTTTTCGTCTCATTGTATAAGGAAATTGTTGTGATTTTTTTTTAAAAAAATTCAAACTATTTTCAAATTTCGTTCTCTAATTCGCTCTCTTTCGCTAAAACTAGTAGTGTTAGTGTTATGTAGTCTTCTCAGATCAACATTAATTTGTAAGTTTTATTATCCTCGGAATTCTTTTTATTTTCCATCCACGGGCCTAAGAAATAAGCTTTTTAGAGCTTAAACACATCATACAAACAATTTATTTAAATATTATAAAATGAAAAAAGGCTTTCTTAGGCCCGTGAATGGAAAATAAAAAGAATTCCGAGGATAATAAAACTTACAAATTAATCTATTGCTTTAGTGTTAAGAAATTGTTGATAAACTTAATACAATTCAGGTGACATGGGAGAAAATCAATTTAGTGGAAAAATGCAAATATATTTCTTAACTTCTAAATTCTCAGTGAGAGATTCAATTAGAACTAATATGGCCATGTATGGCTTATTTTTTCAAATTTAGTTAAATAAATAGTTGCATCACAATGTTCAAATATTGCAACAAAACCTCAAATTATTATCTCAAGTCATTTTTCATTTACTTATTTTTACTTCGCAGTTTACAAAGTAACGTTAGTTGTTGCAAAATTCTCCTTCAGCTCCCATTACTTAAAACATTATCGAAAAAAAAACATTCAGAAAATAAACTTTTACAATTTACAATCCTTCAACTATTGTCACGATTCAAATAAAAAAACTATAGACGACAAGATAAAATAAATTAAATTACTTCTTCGTGATGTAATCAAATTTTTTAATTGTCATTTACTTCCTTTTACTTTTTAATAAAATAATGAAAATAAAAAATTGTATAGACAAAGTTTTTTAATAAGTTCACTCAGAACGAGTTTTTCATCGATCAGATTAAGAGAAATTTGATTGTTGAATGGATATGTTTAGTAATATCTTAAACTTCGATTCAATTATATCATCTTCATAGAGTGAGAGAAATTTGATAAAACTATTTAGTTGCGTTCTGTACAAACTTTATTTCTTCTCATTACTCAGAGAAGTTTCTCATCAAAATAAGTCGATATTGATAAGAATTAAGTATAAAGAAGGTTTTCTTAGAGTTTTTTCACTCATCTTCATTTCGACTTCAAAGATTAAACCTCGTAAGAAATGAAGATGATCGTGAAAAGTTCGGTTCTTTTGATAGTTATCACATTTGTTTCAACAGGTGAATATTTATTTACTAAGTTGAAAAACTAACACACGTTTCATTCGTGAAATTATTTCAATTTTACTTTCAATAGTTTCTTCAACATCACGAAGTAAGTAATATTTAATTTTTCTTGTTAGGTATTTTCTTACAAAACTAATGAATAAATTTTATTTGACAAAGAATGTGAGCCTGTTCCAGGATGTACAGAAAATGGCGAATTCTATCCTATCGGGGCTTCTGTACCGCAAAATACTCCTTGTAAAACCTGTTATTGTTCTGAAAATGGATTGGAGTGTGCAGAAATTTTTTGTGATGCTCCACCTCCAGGATGTGTCGCTCAAAATAATCCCGATCAATGTTGTCCTGAAATAAATTGTGGTTGTGAGGTTGATGGCGTATTCTATCCTATTTATGAACCTATACCGCAAGAAGATCCTTGTACAATCTGTGTTTGTTCGGAATATGGATTGGAGTGTGGACACCTTTATTATGATTGTCCATTCATACCACGAGGATGTGTCCATCGAAATATTCCTGGTCAATGTTGCCCTGAAATTTTATATTGTGGCTGTAAGGTTAATGGCACAGTGTATCCTGTAGAATCTGACGTTCCTAGTGATGATTCATGCTTTACTTGTTCCTGTAATTCCTTTGGACAATTTTCTTGTAAGGCGAAGATCGAATGCTCAAAACCACAACCAGGATGCGTTTATCAAACTCCTCCTGGTCAATGTTGTCCTGAAATTTTATATTGTGGCTGTATGGTTAATGGCACAGTGTATCCTTTAGAATCTGATGTTCCTAGTCCATGCTTTTGTTACTGTGACTTCAAAGGAACAGTTTCGTGTGAGAAGGAATGCCCAATAAAAAAATATGGATGCGTTTATCAAGATAGTCCTGATCAATGTTGCCCGGAGTTATCATATTGTGGCTGTATGGTTAATGGCACCTTGTACGAATCCGCCATTCCTAGTGATGATTGTCCTTTTTGTACGTGTTTCTTTGGAGAAGTTCGATGTGAGCAGGAGGAGTGCTGTATGAAGGATGATGGCTCAGTGTATCCTTATGATTTCGACATTCCTAATGATGATCCATGCCTTTCTTGTTACTGTTCTATTGGATACGTTCAATGTGACACGAAGGAATGCTCAGAACCACCACCTGGGTGTGAAAATGCGCAACCTTCTCCTGGTGTTTGCTGTCCTGATTTTCAGGCACTCGGTTGTGAAACTTCAGAAACTTCAGAAATGACAACTCCATAAATTGTCAAAGAAGATTATGAAATAAATCGAAATTTTAAGATGAAAATAGTGAGTTTTTATAAGTATCTACTGCTACAATGTAATGAATGACAAAAATCACTAATAAAGACTTCAATTAGGGCATTAAAAAAATCTGCTAATAAGGATGTTGAACTGTTTAAATTAATTTGACATACATTTACAAAGATATTGGGTTTATCAAAAAAACTCCTACATGACGACTCCATTAATTGCATCTGTTAAAACATTTGCAGAAAACATGTCTTAAAGTTAAAATTAAGAAAAAGGCTCGCGAGGTTTAATCTTTGAAATCGGAACGAAGGATCGAAATGAAAAAAACAATAATAAACTATCGAATTTCTCTTAATCTGATTAGTGAAAAACTCGTTTTGAATTAACCTACCAAAGAACTTTGTCCATTCAATTTCTTACTTTTATTATTTTGTGTTAAAAAGGAAATACCTAAATGACAATTAAAAACTTACTTTTTAACAAAACTAATAAGCATAAAAAAATGTATAGACAAAGTTCTTTGCTAAGTTCATTCAGAACGATTTTTTTAGCGATCAGATTAAGAGAAATTCGATTGTTTGTTGAGTGGATATGTTTAGTAATATCTTAAACTTCGATTCAATTTTATCATCTTCATAAATTGAGAGAAATGTGATAAAAGTATTTATCCATTACTCAGAGAAGTTTCTCATCAAAATAAGTCGATATTGATAAGAATTAAGTATAAAGAAGGTTTTCTTAGAGTTTTTTTCACTCATCTTCATCTCGACTTCAAAGGTTAAACCTCGTTAGAAATGAAGATGATCGTGAAAAGTTCGGTTTTTTTGATAGTTATCACATTTGTTTCAACAGGTGAATATTTATTTACTAAGTTGAAAAACTAACACACGTTTCATTCGTGAAATTATTTCAATTTTATTTTCAATAGCATCTTCAAGTTCACAAAGTAAGTAATATTTAATTTCTTTGATTTCTTAAAAATCTAATGAATAAATTTTATTTGACAAAGAATGTGAGCCTGTTCCAGGATGTACAGACAATGGCGTATTCTATCCTATTGGGGCCTCTGTTCCGCAAAACAATCCTTGTAAAACCTGTTTTTGTGCTGAAAATGGATTGAAGTGTGCAGAAATTGCTTGTGCTGCTCCACCACCGGGATGTGTCACTCAAAATAATCCCGATCGATGTTGTCCTGAAATTTTATATTGTGGTTGTGAGGTTGATGGCACAATCTATAAAATCGGAGAAGAAATTCCCGATAATGATCCATGCACTGGTTGCACTTGTGAAGTATCCGGCAACGGAGCAGAACCTGTTTGCTGGGCGGTTGGATGTGGTGCATATCCAGGAGCTTGTGTAACTCAAAATGTTCCTGGTCAATGTTGTCCTGAAATTTTATATTGTGGTTGTGAGGTTGATGGCACAATTTATAAAATCGGAGAAGAAATTCCTGATAATGATCCATGCAGTGGTTGTACTTGTGAAAACTCAGACAACGGTCCAGAACCTCTTTGTTGGGCGATTGCATGTGATGCTCCACCACCAGGATGTGTTACTCAAAATAATCCCGATCAATGTTGTCCTGAAATATTATATTGTGGTTGTGAGGTTGATGGCACAATTTATAACGTTGGTGAAGAAATTCCTGATAATGATCCATGTACTGGTTGTACTTGTGAAGTATCCGGCAACGGAGCAGAACCTGTTTGCTGGGCGATTGATTGTGCAGCCCCACCACCAGGATGTGTCACTCAGAATAATCCCGATCAATGTTGTCCTGAAATTTTATATTGTGGTTGTGAGGTTGATGGTACAGTCTACAAAATCGGTGATGATATTCCCAATGAAAGTCCATGTGTAACTTGTACATGCGAAGAATCAGATTCCGGTGGTAACCCTTCTTGTTATTCTATGTCTTGTTTGGCCCCACCACCAGGATGTGAAAATGTTCAACCTCCTCCTGATGTTTGTTGTCCTGATTATCAAGCACTCGGTTGTGAAACTGTAGAAACCCCAGAAATGTCAACTCCATAAATTGTCAAAGAAGATTATGAAATAAATCGATATTTTGAAATAAAAATATGAAATATTTTATCAAAATTTACTACTTTTTTCTGGATTAATTCACTATTTTAATTGCAATGTTATCGAATCCTTCTCAAGTTCATCGTCATCAATCATCACATCTGTAAAAGTATGTTTTTATTTCCAATTATATATCTACTTTTGAGAAAGTAATAAAATAAATAGAGACAAAGATGTTTACTAACTTTGATATAATGCAACTGATCAATTGATCATTCAAATTATAAGCGATCCAATCGCTTGATAAGTGACTATGCTCAATTCAAACCGGTTTAAACTCAAGCATATTTTTATCATCTTCATAAATTGAGAGAAATTTGATCTTATTACTTCTTCCTTAAACTTTAATATTTCTCAATGTATGACTTTATTCGACAAAAATACTTAGTTGTGTTCTGTACGCACTATATTACTTCTCATTATTTAGAGAAGTTTCTCATCAAAACATGTCGATATTGTTTTTTAATAATTATAAAAAAGGTATTCTTAGGGTTTTTTTACTCATCCTTCATTTCGACTTCAAAGATAAAACCTCGTAAGAAATGAAAATGATCGCGAAAAGTTCGGTTTTTTTGATAGTTATCACATTTGTTTCAACAGGTGAATATTTATTTACTAAGTTGAAAAACTTACACACGTT